AATCCATTCAAAACTATAGTTTTCGGCAACAGGATGCGTTAGGAGTGGCAATATCGGACCGGAAGGTTGCGTGTTGCTGAATATCGATAGGGTTCGTCCTCGTATGACTCAATAATTTCAATTTAAAAAGAAAAATCGGCTAAAAAATATTAGCCTCTGTCGCATTCACAAGATTTTCGGCAAAGGGGGTTAATTTCTAAAGGAAGGTCAGGTAACACTGAATGACCCATGTGTTTCACATTAAATTTGAAAAATTATTCGTTAAAAACTGCAGCCCCTATCGAGTTTACGACAAGGGGTGTAACTGCGACACGGAAAATAGCGGAACGCTGAATATCGATAGTCTCTATCGCATTTACAAGCTTTTCGGCGTGGCGTAGATGGAGGTGCGTCCGGAACAGATACTCAAGGAACGCAGAATATCGATAGGGTTTGTCCTCTCATGGCCCGTCGCTCAAAACCAATTTGAAAAAAATTACCCTCACAAGCACATTGTTAACGCTGAATATCAATAGGGGTTGTCCTCTCAAGATCCTTTTACTCACACCAAATATGAAAAAAAAAATCATTATTATCTCATAATTAGGAGATAATAAGTCACAATTAGGAGAAACTAAGTCATAATCAGAAAATACCAAGTCCTAATTATGATGTTTTGAAATTTATTTCACTGTAATACGAAATCTTAATTAGGAGATGGTCAGATTAGGAGGTTATAAGTCATAAATAGGAGTTACTATCTCCTAATTAGGACTTGGTATCTCCTAATTAGGACTGAATGAGATTTTTTTTATTTGGCCCTAATACCCTTCCGTAGTTTTCTTTTCTCGACAATAACAAAAACCAGTCGATAAATCAATAAATTGGTAGAGACTACTTTACGTTTATAACTTACATCGACACTGTATACAAATAATTGTGCTCTGACCTGTTTCACACAATGTAAACGTTCGGATTTTTCAATAGATTCAAATTTCTCTTATTTTCAAAAGCAAATATGCGGCAAAGTCTCTATAATAAGAAATATACAAAGCAAGTTGATGGTCAGTGTAGAAAATGTTACTGTCATTTGAAAAACATCAAATTCATCCGCCATGATCATCTCACACAGAATTCAATCCGAACTAGATTATTGTAATACTAGTTTTCTCACCGGTCTTCCCCAAGATCAAATAAATCGCCTTCAGCGAATTTCCAAAAACTCACTGTCACATAACCCCAGTTCTCCAAAACTTTTGACAGTGTATCTCTTTGCGTTTGCGAGTGAAATGGGGCCGTCAGATAAGCTGCCTATATGAACTGTTTATATTCATGTGTAGGCAATTGGCCTGTTATTAACGTACACTGGTTACCTCTAATAAAAACAGCAGTGCATTTCCGCAGTTTTGTATTGTTTCTGAATATCCCCTACTTTTTTTTGAAGATTATACACATACACATACAGTGATACACGCATATATATACATGTATATAGACGGGATTGTAATATTGAAAATGGGCCCTTATTTGTAAATAGACATATCTTTAGATATGCACAACACCTACAAGTAAAATTCCAAATTTTCCTTTTTTATAAAATGAAAACCGATGACATCACGGAAAGGACATTAATGGAAAACTATTTTATAAAAAAAATACGTTCTTCGACTTAATAGTAAATAAGTAACAATTGGCCATTAACTTCATTAATTTTCTTAAATCTATCCTTTGATCTTCCACTCATTGTTCTTAAATTGAACCCCTGTACTACAGATTAACTCATTCGAGTACATGTTTTCTGTGTTAGCGATATATTATGTAACCATAGATAATGGTAACTATAACCAATTAAAACCACAGCGTTACTATGTAAATATGTATAAATATTAAAACATACTATACTCTATACTGTCCATCTTTTTACAGTGACCTTAGTCATGAATAGTCCCAAGACGGACGAAACGCACTTTAAAATATTAACCAATATATATAGGCCTACATACATGCACATACATACATATACACACACATATATGTAATACTAAACCAATTAAAATCGTTCTGTAATTTCTATGAAATTATGAACTATTGAAAATATGGATTAGTAGCATTGGTAAGTTCGGAAGTTTCAGAACGTAGTATTTTTATGTTTCTCTGTTGTGTTGGGAGAGTCTCAATTGTTATCCGTCGTTCATCCAAATACAAGGGGCAAACTAGCAAGTAATGATAGCTGTCTTTAAACTGATGCCCACAATTACAAGAGGGATTTTGTTGAATATGTCTGAGAAATTTGTGACCGTTTAAATAGCTCATATTAAGGCGGAGTTTTGAATGAATTATTTGATGTTTTCTAGAGCCATGTTCAAAATAGTTTGAAGGTAAGGTATCAGATTTAGAGAGATGTAAATGCTTGACATCATCGGGTAGGGAATTCCAAAGCCTGTGAGTGCAGACGGAAGAAACGAATAATAGAAGAGAGAAGTTCGGCAATAGAATTCAGAAATATTGTTATTACGAAGATTATAGGAAATAGTTCCAGATGGAATAAGAACAGTGAGATAGTCCGGGGTTAAATTATTTAAAATTTGTACATCAGAAGTAGCTTATGTCGTCTCCGTCTCTCACGCAGTACGAGTACCGGTAATGAAACCTGTTTCACTATAAAGAACGGAATGGCTGGTTCCTTTTACAGCCCCGCAGATAGTGCGGAGTGCGTCAAGGTGCTGATGTTCAAGCTTATTGGACAAGTGATCTGTGCAACCGTCCCATATAATATCCCCATAGTCAAAATGTGGCAGTATGAAAGAGGTATAGATAGTTTTTAGTGATTTTCTGTTTAATCGGTATTTCAATGAACGAAAGTACTTAACGAGTTTATACCCTTTTTGACTGATTGAATTTACATGCGAATCCCATTTGCCGTTAGACTGAAAGAGAAGACCAAGATGTTTATGTTCATTTACTTCTTTAATTTGTACCGACCCCATAAAAATCCCATTTACATGCGAATCCCATTTGCCGTTAGACTGAAAGAAAAGACCAAGATGTTTATGTTCATTTACTTCTTTAATTTCAATAAATGTTATGTATTTATAATTAAATTACCAGCAGGATACCCGGCTTCGCTCGGGGGTCATAACTCCGAAACCGGAAGTGGTAGACTAACGCCACCTGGCATATGTTACTCCCCGGTCCGAGCTACCCCTATACCCCAAATTTCAGACTCGGGGCAGGATACCCGGCTTCGCTCGGGGGTCATATAATATTATAACTCCGAAACCGGAAGTGGTAGACTAACGCCACCTGGCCTATGTTACTCCCCGGTCCGAGCTACCCCTATACCCCAAATTTCAGACTCGGGGTAGCCGCCAACCCCAAACAGATAGACAGACAGACAGACAAACGACAGTCACAAATATTAGTATGTAATATACTATTCAAAAAAAGTAGGGGATATTTGATTTTGGGGGCATAATACTAAAATATGCAAATGACTACGAAAAAAGTCACTATAGAACCTAACAGAAGAAACATTTCCAGTTACATGTGACGCCCAAACGCACCAATAGCTACCGCATGGAATGCAGGTGATGCTTGGGATCATCATGGGGGTCCAACCCAAGATTTGCACGACTCTGACTTTGAATGTTACAGTCATTGTGGCATTGAATTCCAGGGTGGAAACATCAGTTTAATTGTTTTAGTGACCAGAAAACAAATTTTGATATGCGTCGGCTTACCCAAAATGAAAGGTTACGTGCCCTTGGCATGCTACAGATCGGCACAACACAGGCGGTTGTGGCGCGGACGATGAATGTTTCTCAGTCTGTCATAAGCAGGCTATGGTCCAGATACCGTGATACACAATCTGTACAGGACAGACCACGCTCAGGTCGACCAAGGGCGACAACTCAAGCCCAGGATCGATTTATCCGTACCTTGGCCTTGAGAAATCGTGTCATCACAGCAAATCAGATCAGCGCTCGTCTTCAAACAGACACTGGTGTGAGAGTGAGTGGCCAGACGATTCGGAATCGACTGCATAGGGGTCACCTTCGCGCCCGACGTCCTCGCGTGATCCCTTGTTTGAGAGATCATCACATTCAGGCAAGACGTCGTTGGTGTAGGGATCGTCAACACTGGGATAATCGACGCTGGAGCAATGTGATGTTTTCAGATGAGTCAAGGTTCACTGTTGATTTTTTGGACAGACGTAGGAGGGTGTGGCGTCGTCGAAACGAGCGCTTCCAAGACGTTAACGTCATCAGACATGATCGATTTGGGGGTGGTTCTGTTATGGTGTGGGGAGGCATCACTGTTGCTGGAAGAACGGCTTTACATGTTGTTGCAGGGCGTGTTACAGGCCAGTACTACCGGGACAACATCTTGGCAGTCCATGTTGTGCCGTTCGCACGACGTCATGGCCGCCGTTTCATCTTCCAGGATGACAACGCAAGATGTCACAGGGCCAGGATCGTTACAGGTTACCTCCAACAACAGAACATCACCTCATTACCTTGGCCAGCACTGAGTCCCGACCACTCCCCCATCGAGCATGTCCAAGAACTTGCTGCTGCGTTGCAACAGGAATGGGACAATCTGGACCAAAATGACCTTAGACGTCTCATTAGGAGTATGCCACGTCGGATCAATGCTTGTTTGGCAAACAGAGGAGGATTTACCCGTTACTGACTTGGTTGTGATGCTGTGGTAACTTTGCTGTTTGACCCCGCGTATCATTTTACCCTTATAATGGTCAGTCTGTGCCTCACTTAGTCTAACGATCATTTGGAATAAATCGATGAATGTGAACTTCATTTCATTTTGTCATTTGTTTCTTCGTCAGTTTCATTAGGTGACTTTAATAACACTTAAAAATCAAATATCCCCTACATTTTTTGAATAGTATATATATAGAAGATAGATAATGAATAGGCTAGTGGTTTCATTCCAACTGGTAGGAATTAATTCCCTTGTTTGGACGGGTAACATGGATATTAAATATTGGATCGTCCTCAAAAGGTCATAACAATAACAGCCTTGATAAAAGGTGAAGGACGTCAGTTATTAAAGTTTCTGCTGTCTCCTGTCATCGTGAACAACGACTTTGAAGATTTCTCTCAAGCATCGTTGCGGTTGAATATATAGCTAGTACATTTGGTAATATTATGTTTTCATGTTAACGAATCGTTGGATGATCGAGACTGATCAATGTTAGTCGGCTAATAGTGTTGTCATTATATATACGGTACTGCAAATTGCAACGAAAATTACAAAGCAGCATGAATCACACTCAGAATCAGAACTGCAAGAAAGCAAATTTCACAGAATTTGAATCGAAAAATATGTTTATTATTAATTTGCTATAGAACAGGTAATATTTTTTCCGCATACATGTTATACTGTATGCGGAAATTATACTAATAAATGAAGTAAGAGTAGCATTGCCAACGGGTTTTCAGATACAACCATTGACTCAAAAATGACAACGATACTGCAATTGTGAACTATCTAGAATGAATAATCTGAAAAAATTTCGAAAAAATATTGAAAATTAAAAAAGTTATAGCGTTTTAAAGAAATCAAACCAGAGGCGCTAAAAAACGGCTTTTTTTAAAAACCGCAATAAAGTGACCGAAGCCAATATCTCAGTAACTATACAAGATAGGTCTATGAAAATTGCACTAATTAAAGATCTAGATGTACTTGATAAAGCCAAATTGTCGCTATAATATTCTAGTATATACTTTTTATGTTACAGAGGTTCAAAGTTGGGATCCGTGCCGATTTCGCACAAATCACAGCAAAAACTTTTTCAAATTTGTGTGTACTTAAATTGTAGCGCTTTGACATTAATACAGAGGCTTATTTTTTAATGATTAAGCACACATAAAAGTGTTTTCAGTCTGTTCTGTTATTTATTTTTTGCATGACAACACCTTAAATCACAATTTTTGACTGTATGATGTCAATGTCGAAGAGAAACAAGTTTATGTATGTAATTGGGCACCTACTGGTTCCGAGGCCATTGACCACTGGCCATTCACAGTCATACAACAATTATAAACCGGTTATACTAACGTATACTGTGGATATTTTTAAAAATCATGAAAGTGTGTGGCAAAATGAGAAATAAACCTGTAAGCTTTTGGCAGATTTGCCGCCTTTGCCACGCCAACTGCTTTAGTTGTTTAGAAGCTGCCATGTACATCAATTTGAAATTGTTTGTTTCAGGAATGAAAATTAACAATTAAACTATGATTTATATAACAGCTATATTTTTGTGATCAACATCACTACAATTTCAAATAAAAACAGACATAATTAATAGACATAATTAAAACATTTGAATATCTTAAAAGAGTCCAAATTAAAAGGTAAGCTTATAAAAAGTAAGATATGATCTACATGAAAGAGTATTAAAAAAATTAATTTGTGATACATGTGCATTACGATATACTATATTATAATATCAGTGGTAGAAGTCTAGCTTTCTTGTTGAGACATTATCCCATGAAAATAAAAACAATATAAACATTCAGATGGTGATACATCTTGCCGAGACATTATCTATGTCATAAAAATATAAAAATATTAAAAACAAAATCACAATAAGATCAAAATTCATATCTGTTACTTTTTAATATGAAATTAAAAATGTTCACCCACCGGTTTAAAATAAATGATAAAAAAAAAAGAAACCATTATCACATTTATCAACAAATATAAGATTTCTAATACATGTATCTTACAAAAACAAACAATAATAACAATATAAAATAATCACATTATTCATATGCGATATTTTTCAAAATAAACAAAAACATTTGACGCATCAGGCCACTTCTTTCAGGTAGAAAATGTTAAAAATAAAATAAATATTATCACAAATATTGAAATAACAAAAATAAGATTACTAACACTGATTTCAAACAATAAATTAAACTAACTTCTATGATTCATACCAAACTTATAATAATTATGGACTTTCTTGAGAATGCTGAGAAACAGTCAGTTTCAAGCCCCCCTTTTTATAGTCCTCATGCAAATTGTATGAGTAGGCCTATATATCATCATCATTTGTCTATTTTATGTTGTACCAAGTAATATCAGGGATCGCCTTTGGCTATGTTTGGATTTGGATGAGTATATATTATGTAGCTTACTTCTTCAGCTACAGTTCCTGAAAAAAAAATCCAAGGTGGTCAACAACATTCACAATTTTTATCCTTTGTTAGTGAAATGTCTGGCTAAAGTTTGGTTGGTAGCTTTAGTAACATTCAATATATTAAAAAACCGTGTCCAAATCTAACATCATTTTTTTTACACTGAAGTCTGTGTGTGTGTGGGGGGGGGGGTTAATTATGGTCTGAACCCTGATCAACCACGAGTTACCTCCCTTTAATTCCACGCGGTTCAATTTCAGCCATTTTACGAATTCCTACGGGGGATACGGACTTAACAAATGGTCAAACTAAGTAGTTAATGAATTGGGCTTTCCAAATATACCAAAATCTTGAGCGTCGAGGGCCTTTTTCGAAAATTTCTCTCAACTTCAAATTTTCAATTCATGAAAAATATCAGAAAATCTTACCTCAGCTTCTCAAAATCCTACTCGACAGCAAGTTCATCTATTTTTCTCGATGGTAAACATCACGTGGTCAATGTTTGACACTTTGAATATTCATGACAAGGCGTAACACGACGTATACTTTTCTCGGTCAACTTTTTGTGATGTCTGTAAATAGTACAGCCAGCGCTCCTAGCGGCGTTTAGCATCGCTAGTAAGAGGCTAGACTTTTATTGCTGAGGGTGCCATGTCTAACATCACTGGGACTTTCACTTAAAGTATAGCTAAGTCTCTAACTCAGTATCATCCAAAACCTTCGACATTGAAAACACAAATTATTTGTCAATTTTAATCAACATTGGTGTTGTGATCTTACCCGAAAAAGATGGGCTTCTGATATCCAATATTTATGACAAAATAAACATTTTATGATTGGTACACGAATCGTGTACCATAATGCCTTTCAGCGCAATTGTAACAAGCGACCCGAAGAACGAGGTTAGAGTCAGTTAGACATATTCCACAAGTCATGTCAAACGGTGATCCCATATTCTTATCTGGAGAGTATGCACAATAAATAATATCGGTATAGACTGGAATAACCAGTCGCTAGAGATTGCCATCCGATTGAGACTTCTGGCGTATTTCGCCGAACATAACTGCTTTGAAATTACAGTAAAAACGGAAACGATTGAATGTAAATCAGTTTATTTACATTCATATTACATTTTTATATATGTTGCGACCCATTTGTATCAATTTGTAGGTCCCAAATATTAGAGATTTAGCTCCTGTAACTTTAAGTTAAACAGAATGTAAATATACATATACTACAGTTGTACAAATAAAGGCAATGGTGCTATGATATAAAAAATATTGTACGGTTTCTGTTTTCTTATATAACAAAAATTTAGTCTGTAAATGTAAATCTATCTAGAATCTAGTGATCAGGATTAAGATACTGGTACTTTAAACACAGCGATGATTGTTATTGTTACCATATAATATAGTAATACTGTAGCTGTTTTTATTTGGGTTACTTTCAACAAAACGATGACTGCAATTGTCATTTCTGTGCATATTTTCAGGTAACGTGGTAAAAAATGAAGTTAAAAATATATGTTACGAGAATAGTACCACAAGAGGGTATAGATATCATAAAAGATAAATATGATGTAGATGTGTGGGATAGTGAAGATGTAATACCATATGAAGCATTACGAGAAAAGGTTGTTGGTATAACAGCCTTGTTCTGTACTATAAGTGACAATATAGATGCTGGTATACTAGATGCAGCAGGTAGGCCTATCTACAACTTTCAATGAAGTGTCTACAAAATTATGTATTTGATAAAAATAATTCAATTACTGCCTGAACCATCGTAAATTTTAAACAGATTTCTTCGATTATGAACAAACTACTTGACTTTGGTTATTATAAACTTACCTGTGTGTTTGAAATTACCTTCGGTTAAATAAAATCCATTGTATAACTAAATATCCCAGCGAATAAAAAAGTTCTCTTTTGTAAAATTGAACTCCTCAAACACTTGGACATCGAAAATTACAAAAATGGCAGCTAATTATATCACTTATCGGGACAGATCATTTCGTATAAGGGGGTCTCGGCAAGGATTGTCTATCGAAATGGTGTTTGGCTCTTTCACGACAATTCAGATTTTGTGTATGAATAAGCTATTGCTTGGGCGTTTACAAACATAAGTACACCCGTAGTCCGTTATTTTGTTTCTGTCTTGTATTAATAATTTGGTTAGAAAGTTGGGTGGGATTATTTCTTTTGAACACAGGTGCTGAACAAAAAGAACGACATTCCTTTAATATTTCCTGATGAACTTAAGCAGTCCTGTCAATTAACCTCAACAATCTGCTGTAGCCGATGTAAATCCGTAAATGACGATGTATTTTACATTTGCCTCATCAAAATTAATAGCCTAGGCCATTGAATCATTGAATAAGTATATAACATTATTTTTTTTTATACAATACCCAAAATTATTATCAACAACAAACCATACCCACATCAGTTTAATTATCGGCAGATAGTACCATGTCTTTTTATTTATCTTCGAATATTATTTCTGTTGTGCAAAAACTGTTCAGAATTTTGCGTCTCGGTGATACAATTAATTTCCGAAAATCCCAGCTTCGTTTTGAAATTCACAGGGCAATGTATCCATACGATTGCACTCTCAGTTATTAACTATAGGCCTATTAATCACAAGTACAACTCCATTTTGAAATCCACCAATGGTATTTTGTAGATCGCGATCATGCCTCAGCCAATCAACGCTTTGAATTCTATTAACGTAAAAGGTACCATGCCATTTGAGTTATTGTATGCTAGACAGATGCAGTGAAAATGGTTAAATTTAGCTCAAAACTTGCACAAGTTTTTACCACAGTCTGCATAATTAACACACAAGACCCAATAATTACACGCAATCTGCGATACCTCTTTTGTCAAGTGATTTTTTGTTTTAAATACATTCGAAGAGTTCAGAGGAAGAACATCTAAGTGACATTTTTGTCTTTTCATATAAAAGGCAAAACAGACTTTTGGACGAGAATGCTTGACGCGAACAGAACAACTAGTGGGTTTAATTACAACTTCAAAATGATGTTTAATACGAATCATTTTTTTTACCAGCCAAGTTAAGGTCAAGTAAAGGGTACGATGGACGTACTTGTCCGGGAGGCCATTTCAGAAGAGCCATGGTTCGATGTGACCCTGATCGTTTTTATACGCCCACATTGAAATGTGGTCATATATATTGTCGTCCCCCGTCCGTCTGTCTGTCGGTCCAGCATCCACACTTGTGGACACTCTAGAGGCTAAAGTTAATATCCAATTGACTTTAAGTTTATATACAGTGTTTAAGGTCATAAGACGAAGAAGCCTATTGATATCTGATAATTACTGCCAGAGTTATGGCCCTTGATCACTTCAAAAAATCTTGCGGATGCTCTAGAGGCTAAAGTTAATATCCGATTGACTTTAAATTTATACACGGTGTTTGAGGTCATGAGATGAAGAATCCTATTGATTTTCAACGATTTCCGATAATTACTGCTAAAGTTATGAAAAATCTAGTGACGCTCTAGAGACTAAAGTTATCATCCGATTGACTTCAGATTGATACACAGAGTTTAAGATCTTGAGATCTTGGTGTAACCTGCTTTGGGGTATGCTGATCACAAATTGAATGGTATAGCCTGCTTTGGGATATGCTGTTTCGTTTGGGTTAAGAAAACCACCTAATCCCCTATAATTTCAACAACTAAATATGTCTGCCAAATATCGAACCCACAAGAAAGGTTTTATGAATGTAGATTCATATTATACCCACGTTAATGAAGGCATACAATTCTGAGAGTATAGATAGTTTTATACAATAGTATAATAGTTTTTCTTGTATATCACTTTATAATGCCTGATGACTCAATTATTTTGTTTTTCACGGCTTTATTCAGATCTTTGGTAAAACTCTTTCCGGCAGATTAGATATTAAGCTAACACTTGAAATCATGATTGGACATGAATAATTTCAGACCTAAACAAAATAAAAGTGGGCTTTTAGTAAACTAGTGACATATTTTAAATCTGATTTTTATTCCCTTTATTTATAGCAGTAGTACTATTACAGGTGTCAGACATTATTTTAAAATAAATAACAGTTTCTATTGAATTTTGTTTTATAGGTCCATCACTCAAGGTAGTAGCTACTATGTCAGTTGGTCAACATCATATTGACCTTGAAGAGTGTAAACGTCGTGGTATCCAAGTTACTAATACACCAGATGTTGCTTCTGATAGTGCAGCTGAACTGACTGTTGCTTTGTTACTGTTGACAACAAGACGACTTTTGGAAGGTAAGTTTATCTGCTTCTTTTTTAAATCTTGCTCCAACAGATATTTAAAATTGGATTATCTTGGTTTTATTCTTTTACATTCTGTAAGTCTATTTTCTGATATTTTTAAGGGTTTGAAGCTGTAAAGAACGGAGAGTGGGGAAAGTGGAAGCCAATGTGGATACTGGGAACTGAATCATTGAATCGTACACTTGGTATAATGGGAATGGGTAGAGTTGGTTTTGGTGTTGCGCGTCGTCTCAAACCATTTGGTGTCTCGAGAATAATCTATTATGACGTCACACAGGCTGCCTTTGCTGATGATGTAGGTGCAGAATTAGTGTCATTTGAAGAATTGTTGAAGGAATCTGATCTTCTATGTGTATGTTGTGCACTCACTCCACAAACAAGACATATTTTTGATAAATCGGCTTTCAGTAAAATGAAATCCAGTGCTGTATTGATCAACACATCTCGTGCGGCCTTGTTACAGCAATCTGATTTATATGACGCTTTGAAAGAAGGTCAAATATCTGCAGCAGGACTTGATGTAACTGACCCAGAACCGTTACCCATTAATCACCCACTCTTATCATTACCTAATTGTGTTATATTACCACATCTTGGTACAAATACCACCGATGCTCGATCAAATATGTCCATTAACACAGCCATGAATATACGAGCTGTGTTAGAACCATTGGAATAAAGCGACTTCAAGGCTGAGAAGCAAAACAAATATTGGCATTTGGATATGCAACATTGAAAACACTTCTAGATATGTTTTTATGTTATTTTAATTTCAATTTATTACAAAGGGCAAAATGTAATTAAGAATGGCCTTTGGCCCAATTTTGTGCTCTTTTTAAATAGAGTTATTATTACATGTATTATATGAATAGAGTAATGTTTTTTGTATGTTATTATATAATCAGTGAATATTGTTATTATACTTATGTTAATAAAACTTAGAATACATTAATTGTTAATTTCTGAACATGGATTTTATTTTTATCCTTATAATATCAAGTTAATATGCATTATTAATGAAAGAATGAATAATTATAAAATGGCTGAATTTGAATAAATCATTTAAGTGACAAAAAACCCACCTTCCTGACCACAGGCTCTTGTAAAATTGAAAATCTCTCAAATGTTCAATCCATGGCGAAATAATCGAATAATGGGCAAATAACTCCTTCTCAATATGTCAGTAAAATGGATGCAGACCAACATTAAATTTCACCACAATTTGTAATTTGTCTTTTTATTGCAATTCTCTCTGTCTCTTTTCTCCCCTTTTGCATGTCCATTTTTGTTGATTTTTTGGTCAAGAATGGACGAAGAGGGTTTGAATTAACATTTTCTGCCAGGTTTTGGTAAATATATCTGGTGGGTTACAGTGATATGTACGGCAAATATACTCTAAAGCCATTAAAAACGAAATGCCTAATTCATGAAATAATTCCGGTAAACCTTTTCTTGTGATGGGTCTCATTTTGTGGAGTTCTGGGTTTGAACCCAATATCAGTTCTCGGTTTGTTCGTGCAAACGCAACACTTGTTTTTTTTTCACGATTTTAAGCAGTCCCATGTCAAAAGGTTTGCACGTGCATTCCCTGCACTGTTGCCCTTTAAAAACAGATCAAAATTTCAACATTCATCACTTCGGAAAAATGCCACGCCTTACACAAGAAAACAGGAACAGAGCTATTGACATGCTGGATCAGGAGGGTTTAAAGGTAGCCGTCGCCAGACACTTTAATGTTATTATGATTATTATTATTACAGTATATTTATAGTGCGCCCTTTCATATAACATGTTCAAGGGCATAGCGATAGATGTACAATATAGACAGATGTACAACATCTTAAACTAAATGGTAGATTATTCGATAAAACAGGTGCTTGATAAATAAAAGAGCGCTGACCATAAGAGACTAGTTGAACAGTTTTGGGCTTTAAAAGTAGTTTATCTGATGTACGTAATGTTCGGCCAGGTGTGTAAAGTTCTAAAAGACCTGAGAGGTAAACAGGAGCTAAATTATTTAAACATTTAAAAGTAAGTAATAAAATCTTAAAATCAATTCGATATTTAACAGGTAACCAGTGTAAATTATATAAAACAGGAGTTATGTGGTCACATTTCTTAGTTAACTAACAAGTCTAGCCGCAGTATTCTGTACTTTTTGTAATTTATCTATAAGCTTTAAAGGTAAACCAACTAAAAGTGAATTAAAGTTATCTAATCGAGAAGTGACCAGAGAATTAACAAGTGACTTAGTGGCCTCTACAGTTACACATTTACGTATTTTACCTATATTCCTGATATTAAAATAGCACATTTTACAAATATTATTTACTTGAGCACCCATAAGCATGAAACTATCAAACATTACGAGCAGAATAAGATGAAAATATATCACAATTACAAGAGGGGGGTTATGTCAAATTTACTTAATTGATGCCTTGAGCCTAATAACAAATATTCGGTTTTATCATCATTCAATTTTATAAAGTTCTTTGACATCCATTTTCTAATTTCACTAATACAGTTCTCAAGTTGCAATTTTTTATAAATTGAAAGAAGTTGGACAATTAGGTGTAAATGAAATATATAATTGAGTATCATCGGCATACAAATGAAAGCTGAGACCATATTTTCTGACAATATCACCTAATGGTGACAAAGAACAGAACCTTGGGGAACCCCAGATGACAAAACAGATTCAGGCGACGATTTACAATTAACTAAAATACACTGTTTTCTACCCACAAGATAGCTTTCTAAAAGATTTAATGCAGAGCCACAAATACCGAATTTAAATTGAAGTCTACGTAGAAGAATGGAAGGGTCCACCGTGTCGAAAGCAGCAGATAAATTCATAAAATTAAAAATGTACATTTTCTATTATCAATTTCCATTAAAATATCATTTGAAACCCGGGTTAAAGCTGTTTCGGTACTGTGAAATTGTTTATAAGCACTTTGAAATGGTTCATACAAACAGTTATCATCTCGATGGGCCTTTATCTGAGAAGCAATACATTTCTCCAATATTTTAGAAATAAAACTTACGTTAGAGACAGGTCTGTAATTTTTAAAAACATTAGGATCCAGTGTAGACTTTTTAATTAAAGGGGTAACATAAGCTTGTTTGAAAACGTTGGGAATAGTAGAGGATGATATACAAGAATTAATAATATTGGTAAAAACTGGAATACCTTCGTCTAGACAGTCCTTAAGACCTTTTTTTTCTAATTCAATATGAAGCATTGGGATATTGAGAGGGTCAACCCTATTGATTGTCCATGTTCTCCTTCAATCTATCGAAAATGTAGTATCGTGTATGCCAACCGCTTGTTTATATTGTGAAATTATCTATTAATATATATTCAGCGTATCTACGCATACACGCTATCATGAGGTCATGGTGCCTTCCATTTCATTTTTTTAAAAAGTACATGGTTAACATAGCTGTTTAACTTCTAGAACTAAATATACTGAGCGCCATTGAAAACGCATCATTTAGTTTTTCGTATAACAAAATGATCCTGTAAACATATCTTATTTAGTTTGCTTCTTAATGTGAACAATATTCAAATGGGAACACATCAATAACAAAACATTTGTACACTTATGGATGTTTAATCTGTAATCAAAGGTACAAAGTCAGAGGGGTCAAAACCAAAAGTACGACACAGATGTCAGTTGCGCGTGTGTCCTCCACGGGCCATCATCACGGTAGGCTACAGCATTAACGCGACCCCTGCAAATGTGTAGGGCGGTCCGGTGATGAAATGTGAAGCCTCCCCACACCATTACACTTCCCCCACCCCATCGATTCGTTTCGAAGACGCAGCAGTCTGCAAGACGTTCCCCAAGACGTCTCCACACATGTTGACGGCCATCAGCGTGATAAAGATGAAAGCGACTCTCATCACTGAAGAGCACACTTTGCCAGTCTACTCTTCTCCATGTCTGGTGTCCTTAAGGGGCCCAGTACATCTATAGATTCGAGTAGCCACAAGAATGTCGCTAAAAATGTTAAATTATGTCAGATGGGTTTGTTTTTATACGATTGGAATCCCTTTGTTTCACCTTGCAAACTCATTTTGTGTATTTTAATTAAAATGTCTGTATTGGCTTCAAAATAAGATAATTTTATACAGTGTTGTCGAAATAAACAAAACCGGCTGAATGTAGCGACACAACTTTCGCACAACTTCAAAACGTATCAGTTACATTAATCAAGAAGTGCTTTCCGCACATTACGCATGATAACTGCAAATATTATGGAATAAATTAACCACGCGGTGTTTTTCCACAGGAGTTCACAGACTAACTATAATAGTAATCTTCAGTTTTGCTGTTGAAATATAAATGTCTGCTTTGCAACCACTGGACCGCTCCGATTTAACATCTGATTTGAAGGGTCAAGTATTGCTGGGAATCTGTTTCATAGCGGTAATGCGAAAGCCTTCTTTTAACTCTGTATAAGAAGACTGACCTTGTAAGATCACGCGCAGTATAGGTCAATGTGCGACGTCACATCATTATGGCGGTGTTTACATCCGACGTAGTAACATTAACTGATCCGGGCAGAATTGGTGCCTATGTACCCATTTACACTAAATAGAAAATAACTTAAAGATGCATTATGTAAGATTTAGATAAAGAGCTGACCGTTCTTGCTATAAGAGTTCAAAAATAGATATAAAAAGAAAATGGACACATTTAAAGTTTCATTCAAATTATCTTATTCTGAGCGAAGTTATGTATGGCGCCGAATCGTAATCGTAATATCAAAGTTAAAATTACATAGTCAAAATGGTAAAGATAGGTTGCCAGGCAACGAAACATACGCCCACAGCGGGCAGTCAAGAAGTGTTGTCACACATTTTTTCTTTTGTCAGTAATGAAAACATTTACAACACATGGAAATCTGATTACGAGTACCGATAATTACCCATGAAGTAATTATCAGAAAACATTACAATTTGTTTCCATTGTTTGTCTCATGACCATAATCAATTTATATTAACTTTAGCTTCTAGAGCGCCCACAAGGGCCATGACTCGGGTAGTAATTATCGAAAATAGTTGAAAATCAATAGGTTTCTTTAAACAGTGCTTATAAATTTACAGTCAATCGGATATTAACTATAGTAAGCCACTAGAGTGTCCACATGGATTTTCAAAGTGTTCAAGGGCCATAACTCTGGCAGTAATTATCGGAAGTCTCATAGCCTTAAACACTGTGTATAAATTTAAAGTCAATCGGATATTAACTGTAGCCTCTAGAGCGTCCACAAGCAATTATGGACGCCGGACCGACGGACGGACAATATACGACCACATTTCAATGTGGGCGTATAAAAATTGAGATTTTTAGATTTTTCACTAGTAAATATCACATAGACATATAATGTATATTTTACACCAGGAAAATCACAATATACGTATTAAAACAGAAATAACTCGACAAAATTATCAGTATAAAATCTAGTTATGATTTTCCCACTCTATTCTTTTCGCCTTTGCTAATTCACTGTAACTTTTTCATCTTTGCATTTTCACTCATCTGTTGTTTTTTATTTTTTTACCGGCTGGACCAAGAAGCTTTAAAACTTCTTGGTCTAGACCATTGACGCCATATATATATATATATATATAAGGAATAAGTATACAAAGTTTCATCCTCGGCAAAGAATATGGTAGACTATTGGTTAAATTTTGATTTAAACCAAACTGCGAAAAAACATATCGGGTTCTCTTTAAATGTATCCAATATCAGTACCAAAATTTTGCTTACCTGTTCTCTATGATCAGTTACTTTCTAATTACAAGTCCGATTCCAAACTGATCAACAGTATGGGCAATGACTTGTAATTTGTGGTTATTCTTTAATTCAGAAGCAGCTTAAGATGAAAGATTTGCCCCTGAATTTAATTATCTCCTGTATATGAACGTAATAGACTTTAACAAGCATATTTAGCATGGGCTTAATAGATTTTATTGAAAGAAATTTTACGAGCGCTCGTGGTCATGACTTGATGGTCATGCCAAAGTGGAACACTTTGGTCTTTAAGACAATATTGGTTCTTTGAAACGAGAATGTATAGTTATACATAAAAAACAGTGATATTTTGGTAAAATCATAATCATTGTCAAAATATCCATCAAGTTCTATCTGTTAATTGACCTATGGTTGGTAGACCAAATAAGGTAATGTTCCCTCCTCTAGTCTTGTGAAATAAAGAGGTTTATTCCATATTTGGGATGGAAATTAACGCCAAGGCTATCTAAGACATGCAGAAATAATGGGGTTATAAAACAGGGTGTAGAGCGAGATTGATCAGACAATATCAGTAAACTTCTCTACTTCTGGGTTTGACGAACGCAACATTCATGGAATGAAAAACAAAAATAACAACCGGTTACTGCCATCTGGCAAACGATATCATTGGCTACAAGCCCTGATCTTTGAATGGTGAGAGTATAAGCAACCATGTGCCAGCAAAATATGCATTTTTTTCTAATTATAGACTAAGATCATTGACGTTAGTGAATCAGAGCATTTACCTGTTCTGAAGGGGGGGGGGGGGGGTCGTATTTTAAAATCAGATTTAATTTTACTCCCATAAAATCTATGATTTGCCCCACGAAGATCGCAGTTACGACCTTTAAAAGCCAATGTATGACTTGAAAAATAAACCCCGAGAAACGTTTTCGAAATTTTTAACCGAAAATTTTAAAATTCGGGAGTAATCTTAGCTTGCCACACAATGAATTATGCGCCAACAGCAGCCAAGTCGACCTACAGTCCATATAGATGTTGTCACATTTTTATTCTTTTGTGGGTAATGGGAGCATTGTAAACTAAAAACTGATCAAGAGCAGAGAGAGGTAAATAATATGCTTATGTTAACATTTTTGTCTATTTAATCTTTCGAAGATATATAGTGCATTTGATAATAACTTAGCCCCAGAGTGTCCACAATACTTTTCTAAAAGATCAAGGGCCGTAAATCGACAGTGAATATCTGAAATCCGTATCTCATAAACACTTGAAATGAATTTCATGTCAGTCTGATGATAAATTTTGATGATAATCACGTTTCAATTTGGGTGTGTAAAAAGGTGGTTCAAATCCTAGTCACTTAATTCTCTATCTGACGTAAACTTCCCGTATAAATGAGAAATGATATCAGATGATCTAGAAAGAGTAAGACTTGAAAGTGTAAATTATAATTTGATTATATTAGAATGAAAATACATTGTTATACATCAGATGTGTCATCAATTCAAAAGTTTATTTTTCTATAAATAAAAAAAAATCACTATAAATTGTAAAGTCATTAATCTAGCTTATATCTGGAATGCCTCTTTTTTAAGGTTTGTATATCGCCTCTTGGAATGCAGACTTAATTTGTACTAATCTGTCTCAGACGGTTACATGTCAAAGTCTCAATAACTACGAAAGACACATAAACACTGTTGTCCTATAATCTAACATTTTAAAAGTCTTCAAACAGTTTCTACAATATATCCATAACTGTTATTTTTATTTAATGATTTATAATATACATTCGGTTGGCTTATAACAATTGAATGAAATGAGGTAGTTCCGATAATTCCACTTTATAATTAAGCAACCATTTAGGACCTTCCTGAATACCGCCTCTTAAAACATCCTTCCATTTCCCTTTAGGTAGATATATATCACGTGATCTCTTTCCCTGTTCTATAACTGGAGCAACTAATACCTCATCCCCTACTAAGAACTGAGAATCTATAGTCAATGCTGTTTGGTCGTTAGGCGATATCCACCATAATGGTCTAATTATAGGATCTCCCGAACCAATAGATTGTTTGGCTAATTTAACCATTAATGGTGCGTATTCTTCATGTAACTGTGTATATTTCTTACATAGATCTACTACTTCCTGATCATAAATCCAAGGTGCTATTGAATATTGTATGGTTGGAAAGAATGTGTTAATCTCCATCCATCGTATAAACAGTTCCCGATTTGGGTAAGCTCCGCCATTGAAAGAAATTAAGTCATCATAAGCGTTTCCACCAACCATATCCGCTAAAACAAACGGGTACCCTATGACACCAAATGTTAACATGGTGGGTATAAGAGTTTTAATACCCGCCATGTCATCCCAAGACGAAGCTCTATCGAACATACGTACAAATATTGGTAAATCTTGTGTTTTCCATGCTATCCTCACTTCTTGGTGTCTGATGGTTGTGTCTGATCTATACGCTACCGTTGCCCATAATCTGGCAAAATCTTCAGGCGATTTTAATGGTTCTTTAGTTTCATAATTTCTCGGCAAATAATGCGATTCTCCAGCATCAAACTTAAAAGAACTTATCCCATATTCAGTCTGTAAATATTTCAGATTATTGATGAACCAATCGACTGCCTCGGGATTGGTGACATCTAAACATCCTGCCCTATCTCCATCCCACCATTTGACTAAAGCCGGAACACTATCACCCTTACTCCTAATGAGATAACCTTTATTGGCAGCTTCCTCGAAAGATCTAGAACCTAATTCCATGAAAGGGTGGACCCACAAGGTAATCCTGAATCCCATAGCATTTAATTTTTTTATCATATTTTTGGGATCAGGAAATTTCTTGTTAAAATCAAGATCTCCATAAAATGGTGTCCAATCATCGTCGATCTCTATCTGTGAATGAGAGAAGCCATGCTTTAATATGGTGTTGGCATAATCCATTACAGCAGATTCATTTACTTGTTTATTATACTGTGCCCATGTACACCAAATTGGTTTTGTAAATAACGTTTCGTCTGGAATGGTAATAGGTGTTTTCAGATATTTTTTCAACATAAAGCGTCTTACGGTCTTTGCATTTGAAGCCTGGCATATCGTGTACGAAAGTTTCGTTGGACCTACGTTATTTATGTATGGATATTCATCGAGTTTCGCAGCTAAACATATCTTTCCGTCGTTAGATCCGTTGATGCTCATGTACAAAGGCACGTCATCGGGTATAAAGATACCATAACCATCCGAATTAAAGAAAATTCTTTCTTGAACACCACCTACAGTTTTGTCTTTGTGAAAAAACAAATCGGCTGAAGCATAAGGGGTCTGCTCCATGTCGATTTTTTCCAATGGCCATGGCTGTCGTACATGTTGAAATCCTCCAAACCAATGACTTGTTCCTAGGTTATAACAATCCCTCAACTCTTTTACGTCTAAACTTAAAGCTTGCCATTCAATATCATAACACGACGCTTTACCGTCATTAAAATGATGTACTCGGAGCTGGGTTTGTGGGTACCTCAAGCACACCTCATTGTGTGTGGTTAGTCCTAAGTTACAATCACGAGGACTATCTGTTTGGGAACCAATAGACCCATATAGTTTAGGGCTATCTATATATTCATTAATTGTCACTTGGCTATTATTTAGTAACATATGATGTAACTTGAATACTGATTCAGTATTCTGTTGTTTACTGTAATCCATTGAATACCTCATTACTAAATAAACTAATATTGTACTTATCACTAAAGTCTTTAAAGTTTCTGTAATAGTCATTGTATGTATCATAAAAGATCTTACTGTCACTTGGTATAACAAATTGTCGTATGCCTTCCTTCCCTGTTGACGCCTTTGCGTTTTAGTGTGTAATGAAAAGAATCAATATGCTCAACACTAGATGTTATTGGTATTGTATAAAACATGCATATCCAAGGTTATTTATTATGGAAGCCTATAACTACCATTCATAATTTCTACTTTTCGCCTCTTCAGAACACGAAAGTCGAAAAGTCGAAAAGTAGAAGTTACGACAAAATGTGAGGCGACAAGACGGTATACAAGCCAAAATCAACTCGAAAATAGGAAATTAAGAAATAACACACCGCGATAATAGCGCCCCCCGTTTTTTCTTAATTTCTACTTTTCGACTTGCATTCTGGCTTGTATACCGTCTTGTCGCCTCACATTTTGTCGTAACTTCTACTTTTCGACTTTTCGACTTTCATGTTCTGAAGAGGCGAAAAGTAGAAATTATGAATGGTAGTTATAGGCTTCCATAATTTATACTCTGGCCATCCTACAGCATATGAATTGCCTAGATAGGTAGTGCTTTGTTGTACCTGCTTCTGACGATTCGACTTCGCATGTTCAGTATATAACTTATTTTATTTATAAAGGGACACCACTGTATGTCGGTCAACATTTACCAATAATGCATGTGATATTTGATATGACAAACTTAGCTAAAACAATTTTCGACTCCATGGGCTAATTTTAGCCTACCTGATCAGTGCTATGCAATTATTGTTGTTGGCCGTGTCCTGTATGTAGGGCGTACACCTAATCGTGCATTGAGGTGGTAATGTTTGCAAGAGAATCCCCTTTAACAACGCAAGCTATTACATTAAAATAGGTATGTAGGTTATGATCAAATAACCTACTTTATGTCATCTCGTTATAATAAGAAGAATGAGAAAGTAGAGCAAAATTGGCAAATGCCTTTCAAGTAGCTGTGTCTAGATTGCAGTATTACGAAAGACATTAATACACACGCTATTTTTTTTCTTTTCGAGTATTGATAAACAAGAGGGGGAAGACTATTTTCAGGCCGGTTAGATAGGTCCGGAATTCAAAGACACGGTGTTAGAAACTACACGAATTAAATGTGGGTAACCCAAACCCTAACCCAAATTTCCCGATAGATGGAATTTACATATGGAACTGACTTCCTTCACCCAACAGGCCTAATCTTATCCCCAATAAGCATGATCTTTCCAACCGGCCTGAAAATAGACATCACCAAAACGCTAAGCGCCCAATCAAATATTTACCTGTCTGTAATACATTAACCTGAATTAAGCGGGATATATATTTAAAAAAAAACAGGCTAAATAATGCAGTCAAGTTATTAGACATATTATGTTATAACACATTGACACTGTAAACATTTAGGAGGTTATATGCACCGACTACAACGAATATTAACCCGGATAAAATGACGTCCATTGTGTACATTCAAGCAGCCTGGCAATAACTTACCGCAATTAGAACTGCTGTCTCTATGTGCATAAATGATTCAACAAGTTTACCGGAGTATCGACTGTAAATAAAGCTATGGCCGTAGACTTGGAGGAATTCATAAATGAATGCCGATTGCATGCTGCATAAATAAAACACCCTGGTTGGTGTTTTACGTCTGCGGACAAAAACCAGGAGAAGTAGAATCTTGCTCCTGTGTGTTAGAATATGATTTTGTAATCTTTCCATTTGCGCCCTGTGGCCATTGGTTGATTTAGTTGAAATTTCTTTGCTTTAGAAAAAACGTAATGGGCTCTGCTATCAGAGTTGTCCCAATTGGTATTGTATAGGTCTTAGTGAAATCATTTATACTACTATAATACATCTCTATTCTGTCATGATTGGTGTTACTTAGACCATGCTGCAGGCCCATGGCTATCCCAAAAATGTTGGGGGCAAGTGCTTCTGGGGGCGCCGATGTACCTACACTTGACGGTCCACGGCGAACGGCACCGTGGACGCGCCTCCCTTCGGATAAGGGTCTAGGCCCCCCCCCCCTCCAGCTATCATGGAAGGAATTATTAGTGAGCAGAAATTCGGCCGTGTATCTGTTATCACTCGTCACATCAGTCAGTTATATAGAGATATGACTCGTGTTTTCCTTTGGCGTTCGTCACTTCCGATTCAGGAAACCTGTATTTCTCGGCTATCGTAGCAATGATCTCTGTGTTAAAATTATATTTGGAACGTGTTTAATTAGTTCTATCACATATGTGATAATGACTGACACCAATATTGTCCTTTAACAATAATAAAATGTACATGAGATTTAAAGCCAATATCCAGAATCAGGAGGTATCTTACTAAAGATTCGTGTGCTACAGTTGTATTAGCACTGGTCATATCTCAGCTGGACTATGGAAATGGACTCATGGCTGGCATTCCAGATTTCTCCCTCAGCCGTCTTCAAGTTGTACAAAATAACTGTGCTTCACTAGTTGCCAAGTCATCTTCTAGAGATCATGTAACAGAAGCTCTTAAAAGTCTTCATTGGCTGCCTGTGAAAGCGATGATCGACTTTAAAGTGCTATCAAATGTGTATAAAGCTTTGTTTTCGGATACTGCTCCCTCCTACATGAAACAATTATTCACATTCTACAAACCGGAAAGACCAAATCTTCTTTTGTCCACAGATACTACTTTACTATCTGTGCCTGCTTACAAGAGACTCAGAGGAAAATTATCTTTCCCTATAAATCGGAGTTAAAAACACGCTTGTTTAAATATTATTACATTTGTTAAGCGCTTAGAAATGAAATGAAATGAAATGAGGTTTAACGTCCTACTGTTCTGCTCCTATACTGGGCTAATGAAGACGGGCATACGCCATACAGTGTGCTATGAGGGAAATTTTGCCCGGGCAGCGGCACTATCGCCTACTCTTACATCGAATTCCAACTGCCAAGGGATCTTTTACGTGCATTCCAATGTTTACACGGGACCTCGGTTTTTCGTCTCATCCGAAGGACTAGACAGTTGTCCTTGTCAGGCCCTCCGTCCTGCATCACTGACAAGAGGAAACCACGTCGGAAAATCGGGATGAACTTTCTCGGCCAATGCAGTAAGCGCTTAGAAAATCACCGGATATATTGAAGCGCTATAGAAGATAAATAATAATAATAGTAATGATTGGCAATATCACTCGTCTTTATGGGGCGCCCATACTGATATGGATATGTTCGTCGTTGGCCTCGTATTGCGTCCAATGGAAAGGGTGTCGATTTTGCCACGGGTTGCTCCCCAACCCCCGCTAGCACGGGCCTGTGCCGATCGAGTTTGGTATCAAGCGAATTATTGAAACAAAATTAAACCATATGTTAAACACGAAATGACGTAGTTTGTGTTGAGTGGACGCTAAACCCCGTCTCTCTCTCTCTCTCTCTCTCTCTCTCTCTCTCTTCCCTACCACTGGCTTCACTCACGACCCAATGCGGAAGCAGCGTAGCTGGCATCAGTGGCGGCGCCCTCTGTTTGCCCCCCCCCCCCCCAATAATTTTAGAAAATAAAAATAAGTATTTGTGATACGTTTCGGTAATCAATACCTTCTACGGTGAATAAATCCCACATCCCCACTCAGTCATAAACTTGCATGTTGTAGAGCATTTTCGACAGTCTATTTTTCAAAATTTTCTTGGCGAGGTCCCCAATGGACTCGCTACTTTGGCGTTCTCAAGGGGAATTCGTTGAGGTTCGCAAGTCCGTTGGTTTGACATTTTGTTCTCTAGTCGGATAAACTAGTGATCAGGCGACGAACGGTATCTGGGCAGATCTATTTATCTCGACGATCGGTGCCTGACAGAATACTGTAAGACAGCATTTCCGGCAGTCTATTTTTCAAAATTTCTGGGGGAGGACTCTCTACTTTGACGCTCGTGAGTGGGCTTCGTCGTGATTCGCAAGTCCGTTCGTTTGACACTTTACCTCATCGATCAGTGCCTGAAATACTGCCAGGCTGCATTTCTGGCAACCTGTTTTTCAAAATTTTCTGAGGGAGGCCCCCTACCCCTAGTTGAAGCTCGTGCCTTTGCCCCCTTAAACTTGGACTTTGCCCCAGCTTTGCCCCTCCAATCACCGACGGCTGGCGCCGCCACTGGCTGGCATGGCAAAAGGGCCCACTCTCAGAACGCAGCGTTTGAACTCTCTACTGCCACTGGCCTCATTCAAGCTCACTGCAGAAGTAGCGTAGCTGGCATGACAAAAGGGGTCGCTCTCAGCACGCAGCGTGGGCATGTCTGATTTTGGTCACCAACCTCGAAAACTGAGCCAAGATGACCAAATCTATAGAACCACACAGCGCATTTATTTCACAAAATGATTCAAATGATGAGACACAGATGGATTCCGATATGCAGTGAACCATTTAATAATAAACTGCCCACCGTCATTCGCAAATAACGTAACGATAACGGGTATTGGAGGTCTTAATGGGACGGCTAAGCTGAGAAATGATGGTCATGTTTTCGAGCTTGGTGATGAATATCATGTGGAATGTTACAAATTATAGTCATCCAGTTGTAAAGCTTTGGCGAGTTCTACAAGGTACACGGTGCCAAAAGTTCGTTTTTGTTTTTTATAAGGTCTGAAAGGGAAGAGTAGCAGGCAATCACTGTTACAACAAAATGTGCGCCTTTGTAATTTTTTTTTGTGCCCCACTTGGTGTATAGTTTCATTACAACAATATCTTGACTAAGTTCGACAATGAGCATTGTTTGCTTAAGTTACACAGATTGATGACCAATTTCAATGCTAGATGCTTTATAAAAATGTTAGATGTGCAAGTAAGTGATGAGTGTCATCTATTTAGAGACACCAGCCTCGACACTGTTGATTTGTTAAATACAGCTAGTTGTTGTGGGTTCTACTGTTTACTGGTGTAACAGCGGCCACCCATTTTATCTGCTGTAATGGACCGTCTACTAATCTTTCTTTCAGACCTTTGTGCGCCTTTGTAATTTTTTTTTGTGCCCCACTTGGTGTATAGTTTCATTACAACAATATCTTGACTAAGTTCGACAATGAGCATTGTTTGCTTAAGTTACACAGATTGATGACCAATTTCAATGCTAGATGCTTTATAAAAATGTTAGATGTGCAAGTAAGTGATGAGTGTCATCTATTTAGAGACACCAGCCTCGACACTTGATTTGTTAAATACAGCTAGTTGTTGTGGGTTCTACTGTTTACTGGTGTAACAGCGGCCACCCATTTTATCTGGTTTCAGACCATGTAAAGGACAACGGTCCGCAAAAATGAACGTTGGCACCATGGACCGTCTAGAGTTTAGACCTCGGTACAGGTTCCCCCTCTTAATAGCTTTACAACATTTTGCAATATCAGTTGAGCTCGAAATCACGACCGTAAGTTCTCAGCTTAGCAGCCTTATAGGAATCTCTTATACCCGTTATTTTCGTTATTACTGCAGGCAGTTCATTATTTAGCGGTTCTGTGCATATTTGACAAACAGGCAATACTTCAATATCCATGTGTCTCATCATTTGAATCATTATTGAAATAAATTCACCGTGTGCTTCAATATGCATGACCAGTTTCCGCAGTGAGCTGAGAGTGGCACCAGCTTGAGTGAGGCCAGTGGTAGTAGAGAGTCCAAACGCTGCGTTCTGAGATTGGCCCCTTATGTCATGCCAGCTACGCTGCTACCGCAGTGAGCTGGGAGTGGCCCCAGTTGTACGGTAGAGAGTCCAAATGAAATTTAGTTGATACTTGATGAATATCATCGCATTATGTCTAAAATAGGAGTATCATTAATCCCCAGTGCCTAATTGGAAAACTACATGCCTAACTGGAGTGCCTTCTATATTGATACAGGGCGCCATCCAATCACCAAAATAATAATATATGTACGAAAATGGATTCAGCTACCTCGAAAACGTATATTTTGATACCAAATTTTAACATTAGGTAAAATTCGAATTTTCCCGCCCAAACTGGCATCATCTTTAATGACCCCTCATTATTTACCCTTTGGTATCACTGATCACTGTAATGACTTTCGATCGTAATATAATTACCGCCGACCAAATACTTGTACCGCCGACTAAATGCTTAATGATTCCTTGTTACCGCCGACTATATAAAATTAATTAAATTATTAGTGACAAAAAAATAGATTTGGTTAAATACACAGAGTGTGATAAAAATATAGATTTTATTATATATAAATATGGTCGACAACCCTAACCCTAACCCTCGCACTAATAGAAGATAGGCCTAAAATGTTATTTTTTTATAACCAGTAGCTGAAACAATCTTGATATATTTGCCCTTCAATATCTAAATTGTAGTTTTGTCCTTCCATATTCTTTAAAATATATATGAATGTTTTTCGACAGTTGTAGGCCTACGTGATTACACCTCAAATAAAAAATAACATTCTCGTTGTATTCTTTTTTATAAAAAAAAAACAACCGTAAAATAGTCGGCGGTAACAAGGAATCATTAAGCATTTGGTCGGGGGTAACAAGTATTTGGTCAACGGTAATTATATTACGGTCGAAAGTCATTACAGTGCGGTCGGCGGTAAAAAGTATTTGGTCGGCGGTAATTACACGACAAAAAAATAGATTTGGTTAAATACACAGAGTTTGATAAAAAATATTGATTTTATTATATATAAATATGGTCGACAACCCTAACCCTAACCCTCGCACTAATAGAAGATAGGCCTAAAATGTTATTTTTTTATAACCAGTAGCTGAAACAATCTTGATATATTTGCCCTTCAATATCTAAATTGTAGTTTTGTCCTTCCATATTCTTTAAAATATATATGAATGTTTTTCGACAGTTGTACGTGATTACACCTCAAATAAAAAATAACTTTCTTGTTGTATTCTTTTTTATAAAAAAAAAAACAACCGTAAAATAGTCGGCGGTAACAAGGAATCATTAAGCATTTGGTCGGGGGTAACAAGTATTTGGTCGGCGGTAATTATATTACGGTCGGCGGTAAAAAGTAGGCCTATTTGGTCGGCGGTAATTACACGACGGTCGGCGGTAAAAAGCATTAAGTCGGCGGTGGTCGGCGGTAAAAAGTACCACCGGATTGGCAAGTTGCCCTAACGATTATTTGATTGAAATAATGGTAGGCCAACATCAAAGGGTGACGTCACATCTGTATTTTAAATATAAATTTAAGGCTGTGCTTCCACCTGGGGTGATATCGTTGTTGCAATTTCATATTTTTAAGTTATATTTTTGTACATTTTTAGATCTATTCCATAAGGCCAACTTCCAAGTTTGGTCGAAGGTCACGAGATATAAACAGGGCTTACAAATTCAACCAATAGAATGCTGACTTTATATTCGGTGCGTTATTGCAATATGGCTGCGCCCATTGATTTCGACATTGCATGTAAACATTGATTCTTTTATAATATAATATCGGGATTTCAATTTTAAAACGTTTACAAATAAATATGGGTAAGAACAACAAGAAAAAAACTCAACCGATGTTAGGAAGGACCATTATTAAAGACAGATTTCGTGGGAAAAGAAAAGATGGAAGTAGTCAACAAAATTATGTAAGTTTTTGAAAAAAAATAATATATTTAATATACTCATAAAAACATTTTGTATCTGGAAAGCGAGACCACCGTGTCTGTAGCTACTGTGTGAACTTTCCTATTTTTTAAACCGATTTCTTCGATTATGAACAAACTGTGTAACTTTGGATATTATAAACTTACCTGTGTGTTTGAAGTCAACTCGGGTTAAATAAAATCCATTTCATAATTAAATATCCAGACGAATCAAAAAGTTCTCTCTTGAAAAATTTGATATGTTTACTTATGTTTTCGACTGAGTACAAGACAACACTGCTTTTGTCACGTGTTGGGCGAAACCAATGAGTTTGTCCTGACGGGGCGGTTTAACTTTGACAGAGAGTTTGACAACCGTGTGTTGCAATGAAAACAAACAGCGATCGTTTCGATCGTTTGAGTTTGGGCGACGAAAAATATCAACTAAAGGCAATTACATAGAAGATTTATATTGAAACCATTGATGGCCAGTCTACCAAATTTTATTCACAATGAAAATATCAATGATTGTATGGATAGGCCTACTTGTAAAGATAAAGTCAAATATAAACTAAAATTTTCCTGTCTTCTTTATATTATAAATAATTTAACAAACAACATGGGTACAATTTTAAAGCCCATTAAACGAATGTCATTATATTTGTGCCGCATTTGTGTTCAAAAGAAAATTCTTCCATCCGACCAGTCAAATAATTAAAACAAACAAATAATTCAAAAGAAAATCTATAATTAGGGATTTTACTAGAATGTAAAAAAAATGTAACAAAATAAAGGGATTCAGACAGTAGCTGAAATTGTTGATTTTAGAGTCAGACATCACATTGTGGATAGGAATGCCAGTTAAGTCGTCCACATGCAAAATTGTCCACACAAAAAGTCTAGTTAAAGTCGTCCCCAAATATCAAAACTCATTGGTTGAGTCGTCCACAAGGCATTGGTTGACTTGCTCACACGACATTGATTAATTTCGGGTTATAGAAATACGTTGGTTGAGTCGTCGACACGACATTGTTTAATGTTAGGGAAAGTTTTCATAGTCCGTACAATTTAGTGTACTGATTGGTGCTTTATAATGGCAATCTGCTGATTTGGACCTGGCTGATTCGGACCAGATTTATGGCTGATTCGGACCAGATTTATGGCTGATTCGGATCAGATTCTTGGCTGATTCGGACCATGGCAAGGCTCATTCGGACCATTATTTGAATGACGTGAGTATTTAAAATACGTTTATATAAAATATAATTAATAATATGACACAAAATGACAATAAATACATGTAGTGTAATTAGTGATTGATTACTTCAATAACAATGAGCTATATCACAGAAAAGGCATATGCTTTGCTGATTCGGACCATGACCGTGAGTATTTAAAATATGTTTGCATAAATTTAATAATGACAAAAATGTCAATAAATAGTGTAATTACTTAATTAGTGATTGATTACTTCAGTAGCTATGAGCTAAACCATGGAAAACATCCTCCAAATGGTCCGAATCAGCTTGGTTTCCTATATAATCATACCCACATGGTTTTCATAGTGTTTGATATGAGTATAATTTTCTTTACGTCATTTGGCAGATTATCGCCAAGCTAGAGCAGTTGTGTTCATGAATAACAAACAACAAAACAAATCACTTTAATTTACTTAACATACTGATATCCCAACCTATTCTCTATAGCATAAAAATACGAATAGTACCATTCACTTGTCGATACATTCATTATTAGCTATATATTAATAATAATAATCACCATTTCTATGCATAAAAAAACAACTCCATGTTGGACATCATAAGCTAATCTTATCACAAACGTTTATCCAGCATATAATTTATATTCAGATTTCATATCAAATCAATTAAATGTTGTCTAAACATTAAAATTATAACGCCAAGTAACAAACAATATGAGTATATCTTATTACAAAAACATTGGTGAACTAATCTAAAATCATAACATCAATCGCAAGGACCATAGTATTACAATACCGTGTGGACAACTTAACCAGTGGTTGTGGACGAATTTGCTTGTCACCCGTGTATAATGTGATTGTGAAATAGGTTACTATAGAAAAAGGATGTTTCAATGCTATACATACAATGCCTTGTATATTTCTAGTTACATACAACAGAATTAAATGATGGTTATGATTGGGGTAGATTAAATCTCCAGTCAGTAACAGAACAGAGTAATCTAGAAGATTTTTTAACAACAGCTGAATTAGCTGGTACAGAATTTACAGCAGAAAAGCTTAATATCAAATTTGTTGATCCATCTAGTCATATTGGTCTCTTATCATCAGAAGAAAAACAAAAGGTTGATGAAGCTCAGAAAAAACATAGTAGCCTATTACAAATTCCTCGCAGGTAAATACATAGACAGTTCCTTTAACTTCATTTTATTTTGTATCGTCTGAAAGGTCATTCATGTAAACTGGATAAAGATTATTCAAGACTAGAAATCAGAAAGAACAGTTCTCAGTAAGAGTTATTAATGATTGGAATTTGCTACCCCAAAATGTAATCAGCTCGGAAACTATTAACCAGTTTAAATCAAATCTGAAAAAGGAATGGAAAGATAACGAAATACGATTTCCTCCTACCTGTTTCATATATATTAGATGTACAAAGTTAAGGGACCAAACCAATTAAGATAAACAAGAAGTACATTTATACATATACATGTATGTAGTAATAGTTACCGTTACTCAAAAAGTCATCACTTCTAGGAGGCTGAGAAGCAGTTATGATTTAAAAGCCAGCAGTTACAGTAAGTATTGAATGTTCCTTTAAATACCATTATTGATTAACCGCTTCTAGTATAGTATATAGTATATTAATACCTGTATTTTTAATTGATTTATTTACTAGACCAAGATGGACAGACAGGACAACACCAGAAGAATTAGACACGTTGGAGAAAGAAGCTTTCTTACAATGGAGAAAACAGTTAGCTCAGTATGTACATTTATTGTAGTAATTGGTAAAATTGTATGAAGCTCCCAATGAAATAATTGCCTTTGATAATTAATTTTAGACTACCGTTAAAAATACAATATCAGCTTTTCAAACAAAGACCAGGGGATAGCCTAGTGGTCTAGAGTGATGCACGCTGGTCAGGGCTGTGGCATGGAGATAGGAATGCCTTCTCAACCGCATTTTGGCACATGGATATACTCTAGGTCCAATGGTTTCTTCTCACAGAAAAGACCTGTGCGCTAAGATAATAAAACAAAATAAAAATAAGACAACTTACCTGCCATATGACCCTCGGTGCAAACAGACATTCAACACTTGGAACAACAACAACTAGTTGAAGTGTAATTAGATTCCACAGAATTGTGACCTGTGTATTTATTTTTTTGGTTTTCAAAGTTTCTAATGTCTCTTTAACTATTCCTTCAAATGACTTTTAAATTTAGAAAGTAACTAGCACTTTTGTAACTTGTGTTTATTACAGATTACAAGAGAAAGAACATATTGTTATGACTCCGTTTGAAAAAAATCTGGATTTTTGGAGACAGTTATGGAGAGTAATTGAGAGGAGGTTTGTTCATATTCTAATTTAAATAGCACTTTTTAAGCATGATGTCACATATTTCTATGCTATGCCTGATGGGATTTAAGATGGACAAACATGTATGGAGTTAATTTATTCATACTTTCAATGATAAATGGGTCATCGTAAATTTTCATATATTGTTTATTCCGAAGATATGAGATAAAGAAGATATAGAAGATAAGATGTTCCTTGAGCTTGGGTTTAAAATGACCAGCAGAATGTATATACAGTTTAAGAGTAAATTAAAACAATGGTTTGAATATGTCACAATGTAAAATAAACAGGAAAGAAATAAGATTTGATAGACAGGATGAGGGGTTTAATTGCAATTAAGAAATGGCTATATCATAGCCTATGGCCTCTATTCATCCAAATTCGGCAACAATTGTAAGGATCGTTCGTCTATCATATCAATGAATGAAAGAAAAAACAACAACGAATGTTGTATTATATTACTAGTCAAAGAAGGTAAGTTGTGGTACCGTAATTGTTCATTTTAGATACATTTTCTGATATTTGGTGCCATAATAGAAAAATCCCAATTTCAAGGACTGCCAGTCAAGGTTGGGAGAACTTTCCTTTTTTTGTTCAACTATGGGAAAGGATGTCAGACACTGTTATCCATAATGGGACCCACTGTGACTCAATGAGTAAGGTGCTAGCTCACTAAGGTGTGGTTCCCCTTAAGCTTGTCATTGGTGCAAACAACGGTCATTTGAAAATAATTTCTCACCCATGTTACATTGCTCAAGTACCGGTATGTTATTGGGAATGTAGTTTACTAATATTAGATTTATTATGTTTTTATTTTCAGTGATATTATTGTACAGATTGTTGATGGTAGAAATCCATTGCTGTTTCGATGCGGAGATCTAGAAGACTATGTATCAGAGGTTGATAAGTCAAAGGTCAATCTTCTCTTAGTAAATAAAGCTGATTACTTGTCTACTAAACAAAGGTGAGAAAAAAGTAATACTATCTAATTTAGTCTCAATACTATGATTATATGTGTTTTTAGGACCATTTTTTCTGTGTAATATAATACCTGTTTTTCTCCCAAAGGAAAGCGTGGGCTGATTATTTTGCACAGCTTGGTGTACGAGTTGCCTTTTGGTCAGCTTTAGAAGAAACAGCTCGTCAAAATGAGGTATATACATAAATAATTATAGAACTATGATTTGGGCTGCTTAAAAGTTTATATACGATTATTATAGTTTAAAAACAACTGAAATTTGTAAAATGGGACAAGTATGGGCACAATTTGATAATATTGATTACCAGTAGTATTGATATTAAAAAATCCATTTATCCTTTCATTTTGACTGCTTTTAAAGCGTTAGTTTCATTTTTTTTTTCACCTACATTTTCATGTGGACATATATTGTTGTCGCCCCTGTCCGTCCACAATTTGTTTGCGGACACTCTACAGATCACGCATGTATCGGACCATAACCTGATTGTATGACAAATCACGTTTTTAGCTTGTGGATACTCTAGAGGCCACAATTTTTGATCGGATTTTGATGAAACTTGAAATACTTGTTTATAACCCAAAGATCCTGGTTCCTTTCGATATTTGCACATATCGGATTGTAACTTCCTAAATTATGGCCCTTGATTGTACGTAAAATCGCGTTTGTAGCTTGTTGTCCCTCTAGAGGTCACAGTTAGTATCCGGTTTAAAAAAACATTTGAATATACACCATAATGTTGGTTGAGTTTGAATGTCGTGAAATTCGGAACAAATTTGCTGGACAAAATGGCTGTCCCTCATACACAAATAGTGTAAACATATTGTATATCAAGAGGCCACAATTTTTGATCGGATTTTGATGAAACTTGAATTAATGGTTTATAACCCAATGATATCGGATTGTAACTTCCTGAATTATGGCCCTTAATTGGACATAAAATTGCGTTTGTAACTTGTGGTCCCTCTAGAGGTCACAGTTTTTATCCGATTTATAAAAATATGTGAATATATCACCATTACACCCTGGTGATGGTTGAGTTTGAATTTCGTGAAAATCGGACCAAAACTACCGGACAAAGTGGCCGCCCCTCATACGCAAATAGTGTCAAAATGTGGTATATCAAGGTTGTGGACCCTCTAGAGGCCACAATTTTTATCCAATTTTGATGAAACTTTAAATTTATGTTTATATCACAAAGATCTTGATTCCGATTCGATAACTTCCTGGATTATGGCCCCTGATTGTACAAAAAATCACATTTTTATCTTTTGGACCTGCTAGAAGTCACACCGTTTAAATATATCACCGGTTCGAATATCATATAAATATGACCGAAACTGCCTGACAAAATGGCAGCTCCTTGTACGCAAATAGTGTAAAAGTATGTCATACCAAGGTTGTGGACCCTCTAGAAGTTATCCGATTTTGATGAAACTTACAATATATGTTTATATACCAAAGACCTTGGTTCCTTTCGCTATTTGCGCATATCAGATTGTAACTTCCTGCATTACGGCCCCAGATTGTAAGAAAAATCATGCTTTTTAGTTTGTGGATTCTCTAGAGGTCACAATTTTTTATCCAATTTTAAAAAATGTTTAAATATATCACTATTCCACCATAATGAATTTGAAAATCGAAACAAACTGCCCAACAAAATGGATGCTTTTTGTATGCAAAGTGTGTAAAAGTATGTAATAGAGGTCAGAATTTTTTCAGCCGATTTTGATGAAATTTAAAATATATCTTTATATCCCAACAATCTCAGTCCCTTTCAATATTTGTTCATTTCAGACCATAACTTTCTGGATTATGGCCCCTGATTGTATGAAATATCACTTTTGTTTTTTGCTTGTTCTCTATCCATCTCTTGTAAAATGTGGGCTTATCTTGCCTGGCAACCACTGGTTAAATCATATGTTTCGAATATTGTAAAATAAAGCCTTAAACACATGGAATCTATACACAGTCCTATCTTGTTAAAAAATAACCCTATTAATCCTATAATTCACAATTGTCGTTTGAGAAATTGACAAATACAGTATTGCATTATCAAGTTGAAACATCAAGTTCAGCTTTGCCAATTTCATGGAGCGTATAGAAAACAAGCGAGGTCATTTTGTTGTTATTTTAAGTGCTAGAATGATTCAGTTCATTGTATAATAGTGATTTGACAACCTATTGAGCAATAGATGTAGAAATAATTATTTTTTAATGGTCTTAGAAAATATGCAATTCATGCAACTATCTCCTAAAATGTAATTTCTATACATGGGCTTATCCTCTAATATATGTGTGTTTTAAAAAAGAATATAGAATCTACTTAATATACAAACTTGATGTCCATTTACAGGCTGAGAAATTACAGAAAGAAGAAGCAAATAATGAGAATAGTTCTGGAGAAACTGATTCTGAGGATGAAAATAATATTACACATGTTGAATCTTTACAAATTACAGATGAACAGGAAAAAAATATTACAGAACAGAACTCAAATAATATGTCTGAAAATTCAATAGATAATGAAGAAGCTAGTGATGATATAAACACACTTAGCTGTGATAAAACTTGTGTCAATTCATCAACAATTTTAACTGGAGAAGAATTATTAGATTTGTTTCGTTCTTTACATAGTGGTCCATATCATACAGATGGAGTACTAACTGTTGGCATGGTATGTAGGGACTAAACGTAAATATTTGTAATAAACAGTATGATATCTACAGTACAACTAAAGCATCAGTTCTTTCTCATCTTTTTTCTCCTTCAATAAGGGGCGGATCATCATTTATACTATTGGCTCATTCTATGTCAAGTGGTCAAGGGGGTGGGTAATCGACCGAAAAAATATGGAAAAAATATATATGTTATTGCACATGTAAAAACTAGAAACTGTGCAAAATTTGTGATCTGTAGCTTGAAATTTGACTGAGATATGGGCATTTGAGTTTTATGGGTTACCGATTAGTTTTTGAAAAAAAATATATATCAATAATTTTTTTCGATTTTCAGATGTCTTCTTTTACCTTTCTAGTGATGATATATGCGTAGGACTCAAATTTGGTAGTCTTAAAGAACTTTTAGTAAAGATTATGAATGTGTAGGCCTACTAATTTGTACTAATGTCTCCAACATATGTTAAAGCCATGCTTGTCCCATGCCATCTCAATATTTTTTCGATTTTTTCAAAATGTGTGTTTTGGGCTATTCCATGTCAATTATCACCCAATGAGCTAAATCGAACCCCCTTCCATTTTGCTGAAGTTCGGTTTATATGTTTATTAGGGATGAAAAGGCTGATATTCCAAATTTTAGCTTGATCATACTAACGGTTTCTGAGATGTTAGTACAAATTATAATTACACCAATTTTCAGATTTTTAGGTGCCCATCTACCGGGTTCAATCGGCTTGAAAATAAGAGGCAATTTTAAAAAATTTGTGTCTGAAACCATATTTAAGGCCAATTTTCTGGGAATCTGGTGAAGACTGATGCGTATTCATATGTTTCTTATGTAGTACTACAGGCATTCTCTAGATAGGTCAAAATTTGGGTCTATGTCTATTACTTTGTAAATTCTGGAGCACTACAAAATCCAAAAATTATACAATTACACCAAATTTTTTCTGTTTTCATGGCCAAGTACTACTCACCTGTGATCTGATTGCAGATTTGTAATCTACACAAAAAGTTCTTTAAGACTACCAATTAAATTTTAGTCCTACGTGTATATCGTCACTAGAAAGGTAAAAACTAGATATCTGAAACTCAAGTAAATTATTGATACAATAATATTTTGTTTCAAAAACTTATACATAACTCGTAAAACTCAAATGCCCGTATCTCAGTCAATTTTCATGCTACAGACCACAAATTTTGTACAGTTTTTAACATGTACAATAACATATATTTGTTCCAGATTTTTTCTGAAAATTGACCTACTTGACATGGAATGACCCTAGTGACATTCTAGTATATAATAAACATAATTATCCCCTATTTATAGTATAGCACAATAATACTAAAACAGAAGTTCATATTTCACTTTCATGTTTTTCTATAAAGTATGGAGATGCCTTTATAAACAGCTAATCTTTTATTAATCTTCTAATACCAGTACATATTACAGCAGAGAATAAGAGATTATTTTTTGTGATTTCAAGATTTCAAGATGTACTAGGGCCTGTTTCACGAAATTTTAACTAAGATAAAGTCCAAATTTTAGTAATTTGATTGGATAATATTAGATTGATTTTAGTGCTTAGCCAATCAAAACTGAAGTATCTACTAAAATTTGGATTTTATCTTTAGTTAAGATTTGGAGAAACCGGGCCCTGATTCACGAAAACTTAAACTAAAAGTTACAACCGAAATTTTAAGAAATACTGCAACTTCATTAGATATATGCAAATTGATTTTACTGGTCAGCCAATCGAATTGCAGTATTTCTTAAAATTTCGATTGTATCTTAGTTTAAGTTTTCGTGAATAAGGGCCCAGGGCCCTGATTGTTGATGCAGAAGTTGTAAGTTTGTGGATCTAAGAGTTCTTGTGTATATGTCTGTCCTATATCGGCCTAATTCTGGTCTTTTAACTATTGAAATCATTAATATTCATATTTGTATTGTAGGCCTTACAAACTACAACGTGTTGAAATTTAATCTCTAAAATGATTATCAATCCAAAACTGGTTCAATTCTATTCAATATTTACAAAGATGTGATGAATTGAAAAAAATTGAATATCCATGACAATATGGTCAAAATCCAGCTGTAAACTTCTCTAAAATCTATTGATTGGGCCTTTTTATACACCCACATTTTCATGTATATTGTCGTCGCCCCTGTCTGTCCAGACATCCGTCGGTCTGTCCGTCCACAATTTGTTTGTGGACACTCTACAGGTCACAATTTTTATCCGATTTGATGAAACTTGAAATGTAAGATCATAATCCAAAGATCTTGGTTCCTTTTGATAATTGCACATATTGGACTGTAACTTTCTGGATTATGGCCCCTGATTGTACGAAAAATCACGTTTTTAGCTTGTGGACCCTCTAGAGGTCACAATTTTTATCCGATTTTAAAAAGCGTTTAAATGTATCATCGTTACACCCTGATGACGGTTGGGTTCAAATTCTGTGCCTGACAAAATGGCCGCTCCTTGTACGCAAATAGTGTAAATGTATGTAATACCAAGGTTGTGGACTCTCTAGAAGCCACAACTTTTATCCGATTTTAATGAAACTTAAAATATATCTTTATATCCCAAATTTCTCAGTCCATTTCGATATTCGTACATTTCAGACAAAACTTCCTGGATTATGGCCCTTGATTGTAAAAAATTGGTTTTTTTTTAGCTAGTACTCTATCCATCTCTTGCAAAATGTGGACGTATCTTGCCTAGCAACTGCTGGTTTAAAATCCAATTGAATTCATGCTTGGGGGTAACTATATAACCGTTGAAATTCATATTTTTTAAAATTACATATTGAATAATCAATCTGAAATATTTTAGGTGAATTAAGCAGTGGAAAAATTGATATTTTCTGAATAATGCACAGATATTTTAAATTTTCAACTGGTAAATTCTAGAGATATGTAAATCAATTGTATATATATTTGATTGTTATAGGTTGGTTATCCAAATGTAGGTAAAAGTTCCACTATCAATGCTATTTTAAGAACTAAGAAAGTGCCAGTGTCTGCAACTCCAGGAAGGACCAAACATTTTCAGGTGAATATATTTGTATAGAATGGTTGTTTAGTAAAATGAGATGAAAGATTGTTGCTACTTATAATATCAGTGAGAATACAATGTAATATAATAACATTCATATTTATTATTATTATTTATTTTTCCCCCTACTTGCTGCCACTATAGAACTACTAGTACTGATCATATCATAGCGTAAGATATAACTGGCATTATTAATATTACATGCAGGTAAACTCCAGATTAAATTCTTATAATGAAAGTGGCTGCTTTGATGATTGTATAAAGATTATGTGATTATATTTACAGACATTATTTGTTGAACCTAGCTTAATGTTATGTGATTGTCCAGGATTAGTTTATCCATCATTTGTATCAACTAAAGCTGAATTAGTGGTTAATGGTATTTTACCTGTTGATCAGATGAGAGATCATTTACCACCTGTAAATCTAATATCCTTTTATTTAAAAAATTTGACATTCTATCATATCTGATAATCATATAAAACACAAATTTATATGGAAAACAATCACTGGGTTTATTTCACACTACGTTTCAACAAGTTCCTCTTGTCGTCCTCAAGTAAGTAATGACAGTATGTATAATGATTTCATCAGACGTCAATATGGAGACGAGGCAGTTAAATGTATCAGTGTAATCAGTAAGATTGAGAATATATACTTACAAGTCAGCAATAACGTGACTTTTCTGATGCGATGGTTTCATATTAGTTATTGTTTTGTTACCTTGTTGTATATAATTTGATTCTTGCTATTATACTGTCATTACTTACTTGAGAATGACAAGAGGAACTTGTTGAAACGTAGTGTGAAATAAACCCAGTGATTGTTTTCCATATAAATTTGTGTTTTATATCATATGTTCAGTTACTAAATGCCGTATAAGGATTTCATCTGATAATCAATAAAAAAAATCTTGTAGTCAAAGCCCATTAATCTGTCTGTCCACATTTTCCTTCCGCCAGCTCCATAGAGTTAAGTTTTTGCACATGATCATTATTTCCAGTGCAGGCACATAATGTCAATAAAACACTTTTAAAAAACCTTAGTAAATAATTACATCTGTGAGAGAATACATAGAAATGTATTAGAGATTATCTATGGCATAAATATACGGAAACCAGTTGAGGGTGAAGATCCTGATAGAAGACCTAATGCTTACGAGGTCTTAAATGCTTATGGAGGTAGGATATTTATAAAGTACAAGAAATTTCCTGATGGAGTTAATTAAAGTACCATGTACATGATTTCTTTCATATCTGTTTTTATACACCAACATTTTCATGTGGACGTATATTGTCATCACTCCCTGTCCATCTGTGTGTTCACATTTGTTTGTGGACCATCTACATATACAGCTCACAATTTTATCCAATATTGACGAAACTTGAAATATAGGTTTATATCCCAAAGATCTTGGTTCCTTTCGATATCGAAGAGTAACTTCGTAGATTATTGTCTCCTGATTATATGAAAAATAGTGTTTATCACTTGTGGACCCTCTAGAGGTCATAATTTTTAACCGATTTTGATAAAACTTAAAATGTATGTTAATATCCCAAATATCTCGGTTTCCTGTCGATATTAATGCATGTCGGCCCCAGATTGTATGAAAAATCACTTTTTGTTAGCTTGTTCTCTGTGCATCTCTTGCAAAATCTCAATATTACTTCTAAAAAATCTTTTATGATTTTATATTTTATTTGTAGCTATGAGAGGTTATATGACATCGAGAGGAGCACCAGATGGACCCAGATCTTCACGATATATTATTAAAGATTATATAAATGTAAGCATTGTGTCAACACACTAAATACAGACCCAATATTCCAGAATAAATACAGACTTTCAGACCATACACAATAAAAAGTAGTCTTACCACAAAGCGTATTAGTCCAATAATTATTAAATTAATCTCTCCTTATATATTATGGTCATCGAAAGTTTACATTGTTATCTATCGATTTCATACCGTCATCTTGAATTTCTTGTAATTGTCTGTCTATTGACATCTGCAGTCTGCATGATGACTCGTTTTATTAATAAACGAGAGGTTGGGTGGCCGATTGGTTTAACGCATACACTATGAATCATAAGGTCTGTCATTGAGTCAGGTTGCATGGTTTCCATTCCCTTCTTGTACATGACAAGGAAAAGGTTTGCCTGTCCAACCTCAGAGGTTTTCTCCGGGTTCTCCATGTTCCAGTGAATTATTGAAATAAAATTGAACCTTATGTTAGTCCCAAAATGACCTAGTTTGTGTTGAGTAGACATTAAACCACATCTCTCTCTCTCTCTCTCTCAACAAACGTCAAGGTCAGTAAGTGAAAAACTCACCCACTTGCAAAATTTGCAAATGAGATCCAGTTTCCATTACTGGTCAAAAAACTAACTGGGACCTAAATCAAACATGTACAGCATCATAAAGATTATTGATAAAGAAATTGATATTCACTGATTGTTGTTTTGTTGAAGTCTGTGTAAATAAGTAATTTATTAATATTTCAGGGTAAATTATTGTTTTGTCATCCACCACCTGGTATAAAAGTAGAAGAGTTCCAGGAAGCACCAGTAATAAAGAAATCTTCCCAGATTATTCTTCCTATTACAGATTCTACTTCAACAGATAAACAAAACAAGGTACAGTTTTTTTTAAATATCATTTACGACAACAAAGTGTTTATTTTATACTATACAAGCTATGTACAGACATCTAAAAATATGTCTAGAATATAATTTAACTACCTTAAAAATTATTTTATAACTTATGATGTAGAATACCTCAACAAGTAATCTTCTGTTAGTAATATTATGTAATAATCTTTATTATATTATTATGATTATTTAATATAGAAACCAGGTCCGAAAACCAGTTCTCTTGATAAAGAATTCTTTGCCAAGGTGAGTCTGTCATAATGTGTAATTGTCCTCCTGCCTTTCGAAAATGAGTCTGTCCTTCCATCTGACTTTATTGGGCACAATAACTCTGCTTCTAATTGAGGTAGAATGTTCAAACTTGGTGTTGTCATTCATTAGGTAAATGCCTTGACTGAGTTTGATGGTGAGTTTTTTTCTGCTTAGACTAAGCTGCTGATGTCTATCTGTCAAACCTTTAGGAACACAATAACTCTGCTTTAAAATGAGGTAGAATGTTCAAACTTGGTGTTATGTGAATGTCTTGACTGAGGTTGAGGATGAGCATTTTTAGATCACAATAACTTGGCTTCAGATTGAGGATGTGATGAAACTTGTTGTATAGTTTCTTTTCATCAATATGTTGACTAATAGCTCAATAATGAACATTTTCTGCTTAGTTTAATTAGAGTGATAAACAATATGATGCTTTATAAAAAGATAAATGTGCAAATAATTAATGAGTGTCATAAAGTTATTTTATGTTTGAGGCCACTGATATCCATATGTAGAGTTATTGTAATTGTATATGGAAATAAAGAATGGGTTTGGGAAATGTACAATAATTGATCGATTCTAGATGTCTTGTGTAATTATAATAAATTCTGCGACAAATTAGCCGTTTTATACAAGAGTAATCCCTGGTATAATACTGGCATGATTGAATCTCAGATATACAAATGGGGATGAAAGGAAATAATTCTTCAAAAATAATCCACATGTAATAATCCCTAAGCCCGAAACTTGACAAGACGGTATTCAAAATGAAAATGAAACAGGTTTAATCAAGGTAAGGATTTTTGATATTGTTAAAAAAACATTTCAATGATAATTGAGCTAACTCGTTATTTTGTACTTGATTTCAATTTTAATACACAGATGCATCCAGTCTCTCATTTAAAGGGTGTGAAATGTATTCGTGTTGCTGGACGACCAGATCTATCAACTCCACATGGCAGTCAACAGTCATTAAATCTGGTTGGAGAAAAACCATGGCGACGACATCACAATAAAAATAAGAAAGAAAAATTGCGTAGAGTTTATTCTCAATTGGATCAACATGATTATTATTAGTAGTATCTCTTGTATATAATGCTAATAAATTATATAATACAATATGTTTTATCTATACAATCATTATAAACTATTAAGTCTGGCAGTTTGGTATAATAAGTTGCAAGTTATTTGTGAGGGACTGGTGGTAAATAGTAGTTACTGGAAACCAGTCAGTGTGTGTGCTTTTATGACTGACTATATGGAACTAATGTACTACTTTTAGGTATGTAATTGTGTTCAATTTCTTAGGTCTGCACTGTCTTGTGACTGATCAAAAACCAATTGACCTAATAAACATCACCATGACATGTGACAAAATTTTAATACAATAAATGAAAACCTAATGTAATTCCAGGCCAATGGGCTTAAAGATACATTATGGGAGATTAGATAAAGAGCTGGCAGTTATCACTGTAATAGTTAAGGTAGGTTGCCAGGCAACAAAACATACACCCACAGCAGCTAAATCGTCTGAGCAGTCGACAAGGGTTGTCACATATTTATTCTTTTGTAGGTAATTATTGGAATTTAATAGACAATTTCATACAGATGACATTATAATTTTCGTTGTTTCAAAGTTCACAAGGTTCTAAAAACTAAAACATGGGCCGTAACTCTGGAAGCAATCTACAGAAATTGTTCAAATTTGACAGCCTTTTTCGTTTTACTAATTCAAATAAAGCATATAAATTTCATACAGATCGGATGATAACTTTTGTTGTTCGAAAGTTCACAAAGTTCAACAAAGTAAATCAAGGGCCATAACTCTAGACGTAATTGACGGAAATTGCTGACATCCAATAAGCTTGTTCGTCTTCATTTCACTAATTTAGGTGATAACTGAAACTCAATAGGCTTGTTGTTTTACTAATTTAAATGATACATATAAATTTCATACAGATCAGATAATAACTTTTGTCGTTAGAGCATTTACAAGGTACAACAACGTGAAACAAGGGCCATAACTAACGGCGTAATTAACGGAAATCTGCAGGTACTAACCAGAGTTACCAGACACATAGGAACCCGCTTGAAAATTACATTGAGATAAGTTCAGTTGACTACCATGGTACAAAGTTCACAAGCAAGATGTCCTTGCTAAGAAAATGTTAATGCTCTAGATCTGTGGAGATTGAAGAGTGACATATAAATTTGTTTATGAGGTATAGATGGCATTTTCTAACACTACTGGTTAGATTTCAACTAAATTTTCGTATTTTATGGTATTTGATTTTGCTTTGTCGAGAGATTAACCTCCACTTGACACAAACTAGGTCATATGGGAATAACATATGGTTCAATTTTATTTCAATAATTCGTTTGCGCACAGGGGTCTTTAGCTGGAGAAAACCCACAAGATTGGACAGGCGACTCTACTCCTTGTCACTTACAACCGGAGAATCAAAACCACACCAGTTGACTCAATGACAGACCTTATGATACAGCGTGCATGTGCTAACCATTCGGCCATCCAACCCCCCACCTACACGGCCATTTGTATGTTATATAGTTATATCAAAATATTTCAATTTGTTTTTAAACTTTTATTTATCAAATCATTACAAGTAAAACAAATACATCAAGTATTACATAAATTATATGAAAATTCCTTCTTAACATTTTCAGGTAATCTTCCTCACATTTATAATATTTAAAAAGAAAGTTCTAGATATATTTGATTGAAAAATGCTATTTAATTCTGAGTGCAGTACAATGAAATATTTATCCCATTGGTGTGCAACTATAGGAAGCTCTGTAAGTTTGCCATAGTGTGGTTGTCGCTGCATATAATAATATATACATATGTAATCTTGGTTATCATTTTTGATATTTTGCACTGGAAGTTTCAGACATGATCAACAGACTAGGCCTACTTCTTAAATTTTGGTATTTGAATCACAGTGAAATGTGGGACTCTTTAAGCTATCCATGTGCCAATCTGACAAATAGTCATTGATATAAGAACACTGCACACCAATATCCACTGAGAACAAACAAAATGCAACACAAATATTTTTTTTTTTTAATCCCAATATCAAAATGAATACGTTTCATCAGATGGTAGACTTACCACAAGACAACATGTGAAATGGTAACTATTAATTGATGTCGAGAAGACAAATTCCACCGAATATTGTAAACTTGACTCCAGAAATATGTGAGAAGTGTTATCCTGTGTTAAGAATCATCACTACTTCACAGCTACATGGGTAAAAATCACTACACATGAAGTATCTCAACCAACTTATGGTTTCAAGTAAAACAAACTTTTTTCAAAGCAATTACATGGAATAAAATATGAAATTGAGACATGCTGCTTTATGTAATTGAAGGTTATAAATACATATATTATTTACATTGATGGATTTACATGAATTCTATTATATATTGCACATGTATTCACTAAAATAATATAATAAAACGAGATCAATATAACATATCACTCCAACTGTTTAATTATACATTCATTATCAATAAATTGTTACAATACATATCTAAATTTTAAATTATATTTTATAACCTTATATGCAAATACAAGTTGCTAGTATTTATTCACTCAACTGTGGTACCTCATAACTATCAATCTATTAATATATTCTATTAGTAAGTGCAGGAGGACTGCACCATACAAAATTTACACGGACAAGACATCATACTCAAGAAAACATAAACAGACAGACAATTCAAAAGGTGTAATATAATGTCCCTATCAAATGTTTTTAGAATTTAGAATAATGATGATTTTTAAGTATTCTTAAAGTTGCCTTTCCACCAATGTAGGTTACACCCATATATTATGTTCAGAAACTGTACATATGGAACACCTGTTTGTTCATTATACATGCATATATGTTACTTATTGATATACAAAATATATTATGCTTGTTTGAGTTCAGCCACTCTAGAATTCATTATCACCTTAAAAGTATTTAATACCCGGTACTTGTTCTTATGGCAGTAGAATTTTTTTGTAAACCATAAACAATGAAAAGTATAACACTAATTTAATATCAGACATAAATATCATAAATTAAGCTAGGGTTACAATGTTAGAAAACAAATACAAATTACAAACTTTTAATGACAATTTAAATGCATACATTATATACCGTACTCAACAGAACTGAACAACTTTACGACTGATATCCATTTTAGAGATTCAACCTCCACAATTTTGTTGTTTGGAAGAATCCCTCATATGACGATAAGAGACAAAAAGTTATCAGGCTACCGGTATATAAATAGATAATCTTCATCAGATTTATACAGAATAACATAATTAAAGAGCCATTATGTAAGATGAGTTAATTAAAGAGCTGACAGTTCTTGTTATAATAGTTAAAAAAAATAGATAATGAAAAGAGAATATGTAAAAAATTTCAGTCAAATTACTTCACTTATCGCCCTTAGAAGAAAAGTGTATCATTGATTGTCATTGCTACCATTGTTAAAATAATAAACAATGTCTCGATTATCCATTTTTAAATTAAATCATTAACTGTCAATCATATTTAAATCTGTTGAAAATCTCTGGCATCCGATGGCATCAAGAGTTGACTATGGTTTTGGTAAGTTAATTAATGTCTAATTAATAATTTACACATTTAAGGCCTAAAGAAAGTCCTGCAATAGGCAGATTTAGCTCTTGCATAATGCCTGTTTATCTGAGCATGTCTGTGTCCAAGGATTACTGACAAAATGTTGAAATTGTAACACCCAGGGTACTGCACTCTTACAATATTCCAATAACCATAAAACTTATACCTCTATTTACAATTAATGTAGATTTTGTTTTCCTATTTTATTTTAAGTAAATCCCACAGCAGTAAAAGAAAAAGAATGACATTTCATCGAACTATTTGACCCTTGTAGTGATTTGTCTAATAGTAAGTGCAGGGGGACTGCACCACACAGAGACCCTCATCACACGATTATTATCCAGTCCTAAATCACACATCACTCCCATCTTAAATAATCTTCACTGTCTCCGAGTGCGCGAGAGAATTAACTTTAAAATTTTAACACATTAAATAAAACAGCACAAAGATATCTTGAGAATCTCTTGAATCACTACCAACCAAAAAGGTCAGAGAGATCCAAGAGTAAACTATTGTTAGATGTACTAGTTTATAACATGAAGAAATTTGGTTCAAGGACTTTTCAGTACAATGCATCAATTCTATGGAATTTGCTGCCATTTGTCTATCTTCAAATCAAGTGTGAAAACCTGGCTGTTTAGTCACTATAATTAACCCATGTGAACAATTAATGCGCCTAGACCATCCCCAAGTGGGATGAATTGATGCACAATATAAATTTTATCATTATTATTAAATCATGACAGGAAATAATCTCTCCTACTTTCTGGGTTAATCTTTACTCCTACATGACATCCCAGAAAAAATTTAAAAATGCTGGAAAAAAAAAAGGAATTCTGGGAATGCAGATATAGAGTATGGCTGCAACCCTAATAATATAAATGCATGCATATCACAACTACAATCATAAAATAATCATTAATAAAAGACAAATGTTGAATATTAATATGTCATTTCAGGCCATTCATTTATTCTAACTTTACGAATGGACCCATCAAAAACTCTATCCATCCATATAGTTAAACCATCTAACATTTCTTGTACACACATAACCTTCTGATCATGAGATTCAATATCTATTTGTCTTTCATCCTCGCTACTTTCATCATCAGAGTCAAGTAATCCCATTGCCTGACCAACATTATTCTTCTTTCTCAAAAACTTTCGTGTTTTCTTTGGATGATAAAGATAATAATATTTTCTATAGCCATTAATAGCCAACACTGTACCAACACAGTTATTAATTTTAATTTTGTTTAGTTTCACTTTATTGTCCATACTTGTTTCTAATAAAGACTGATACCAACTTATATAATATTCTAGTTGTAAGAAACCAAAGGTCAAGGCACTGTACCTAGAAAAACAAATATAACTCAGGTAAATTTTCATGGGTACATGTATAGTAAAATGGAAAATTACTTTTCAATAATTTTTTTTACCAATAATTATGTCCTTTTAAGGTGAGAGTATTGAGCACTCAAACTGATTATTGCTTAGTCTAAACATAAGATGTTCAGGTCAAACTTAGTCAATGTCATCTTGCCCCAAAGCATCGACCAATGAAATTGCTTAGCTTTAGCGGGAAATGTTAATCATTGAACTCAGTCAAGACATTCAACTAATGAACATCTACATCAAGTTTAAACATTCTACTGCAATTAAAAGCAGAGTTGTTATGTTCCAAAGTCTTGACCAATCAAATTGATAACCACTAGTTAGCTTAAGCAGAAAATTCTCACATCAAACTTCGTCAAGGTATTGACGAATCTATACTCCGAGTTTCATCGCTCTCACCCAATTAGAACCAGAATTATCATGTTCCATGGTCTCAACCAATCAAATTGCTTATCTCTGCTTCAAACTCCATCAAGGCATGCCCCTAATAAACACCTACACCAAGTTTGAACATTCTAACTCAATTAGAAGGAGAGTTATTGTGTCCCAAAAAGTGTGTCGGACAGAGGTACAGACAGACCCATTTTAATAGCTAAGCTTCCTGCTTTCTTCGAAAGGCGGATGGTAAAAATTGTATTTTAATTATATTCTAGACCTTTGACTGAGTATTACATGTTTAGTAGATAAGGGTATCTGAATGTGAAATTTGTTATGTACATTTTATCATATTGTATTTAGAATGAATTTCATTTGAATCACAGACCAACAAAAGAAAATGATTCTATTCTGCATTACATATAATATAACCTTTAAACAAATTATTATTACTGACTAACAATTAATAATATTACCTTGAATATGGTTGCATTATTTCTGCAAATTTCCAAAGAAGAGTTTTTTTGAATTCTTCATTTGCACAAATAATAAATGTGAGACCAGTGTCCGCTTCTTTGACAAGGTTTGAATATGTATCATATCTCAATTCATATATGTGTATTGTTTGATTATCTGCTGAACTGAAACATTAAATAAAAGGAGTTATATGTGTTTATTAAGGTAAAAGTCGTAAGTATGTGTATTTAAAGTTAAAAAACTATAAAACAGCTGTTTGTCTAAAATTGTCAGTTTGAACCACAGATAATTGTCTCATATTTTGTTCGCTTGACAATTACGAAAATGACAATAAAATGAAATAAAATATTTCTAGATAGCTTAACTTTAAAATATATTCAAGATATAATGATTTTTATTACAGTGCTTCAAAAATCCTTTAGAATAATCTGATCTACTAATTTCAACGCCCGACCACATAACAAATCTCAAAGACAAGCCAACAAGATAACTATCAAATCACAATGACATAACTGGTCCATTTTAGGTGATTTGTTCATAAACCACTAATTATAAATTACAGTAACTAATAGTTTTCTAAAAAAAGAAGAAGGATGTTACGTATTATACAATATGCATGTGATAACCTTAATAATAGTATAATTATAATAATATTCTCCTGTATGAAGCCCAGCAATAAACACCTGATCTCATCAACTACTGTATTCATAGTCTTCATTATAACACATAAGACCTCAGGTTTTCATCACATCCGAAACACTATGCATTGTCCCTTGCCAGGCCCTCCGTCCTGCACCACGGACGGGGGGGAACCACACCGGAAAATCATGAAGAACTTTCGTGGCAAAAGCAGGGATCGAACACTGAACCTCCAATTTAGCGAGCCAACGTCTTACTGAGCCACCATGGCTCCAATATGTAGGTGACAAGAATAAGTTTCAAAACAACACATAACAACTTAACAGATGAAATATTGACCAAGTTCAAAAGTCTCCTTAATATACGTTTATTAACTAGTCTTACAATTAGGATATTCACACTGCTTACATATGTATGTTCGTAACAACTATGCTAAACAACCAATGAAAAACTGATTAACTTCAAAACATTAACTTCATAAATGTGAACTTTAAGATATGAAAATTCTGAAAATCAAAAGTTCTTCCTTATTTATATTCAGGGTCAAATAAACAATCCCATACAGTTTTAAAACGTTCCATTAACTAGCTTTTGTCTTATCGTGTTCACAAACTTTCATAACTGAAAATAGTGAGTTGACTCCAATTTCATAGGATTATCATATTGAAAAAAAAACCAAAAAAAAACCTAAGGACACTCTGATTAATAAAAATGTGAGCACTGGCCAGTTTAAAGACAAACATTTCACATGAACATTCAGAGAACTTTTTGAAAACTAATACAGGCTGCAATGTGTATGATTAGTAATAAATCTTAAACAATCTATATATATATTTCAGTTTGATTTTATATATAATCTTATTTGAACATAGTCAATGCAACTGTATACTTAAATCAGTGCTTCAAAATGTGACAATGAATCTAATATTAACAGGATACTAACCTTGAAGGAGGTCGTTTTTGTACATTTCTTTTGCTGTCTGCCATTTTCTTCTTGACCTGTTCAGCCTCAATACTTGTTAATTTATGCATAAAAAATCCCATAAGAGCAATAAAAACCAGAGTAAGTAAAACACTGGTCCATGTCATTGTATCATATCTGTAAAAACAAAATGGAGAAAATAATTGGTGGAAAATATACCCTTGGCTTTTGACAATTTGCATATCTGAATTTGAACATACATGTACATGTAATTTATATGTCAAAAAATAGTAAATATTTCTTAAATGCAAGAAAAGGTCAAATTTCTACAAAACATTTTCAAAGGCATTATAAATAATACCGAGAGGACTTCTGGTCATCTGCAATTTTCTTCCTATTTTCAATGGAGGGGTAATTTTTTTACAACTTACCCACATAAAAACCAATAAATCCTTTCTGACCAATCTATAATCTTATACACAATTCTTGTTAATAAATCCTACAATTAAATATAATTCACATTAAAACTTTCAACTGAACTGACTTTTTACTTTCGAAAAAAAATCATATTGCTAGGGTTTTTAAATATAAGTATCACTAATAGGGGAACCAGGGGTTAATTTGGTAAATTGAAGTAGGTCTATTCTGGTTGGCAAAAGTTTTTTTAGAAATTGAGGTTGATATTTTCTTTTGGGAGGTACAGTATATGGGTGTGGCTGTCTAAATTTGGTGTCCATTTCAGATTGTGTAGCTTTATAATATATCAAATTTTGACATCTCTGAGCATTGTGTTTTTATATATTACTGTCCTTGGACAAATTACATAAAATAATGTTAAAACCTTACCAAAGTATGTTCATTGTAAACCTCTGGTATTACAGCTTTATATGGTAAGAAATGTTCATTACTTAATAGCTCATGTAGTCGATTCTCTAAACTTTTACGACTTAATCCTATAGAATTTTCATCTATATTCCAACCAGCCTCCAGAAACTCATAATTTAGTTTCCTTGTATCCATTCTCCAAATAATAGCCACCTGTTACAAGATAAAAACACATCAAATATAGCATTCACCTTGTTAATATTGCTGGTAAAGCAAATAGAATTAAGATTGTTCTTTATTCACAGTATTGTAATATTATATCATATTCATATACCTACCTTTAGTATATCATTTAGGGAGCCACGGTGGCTAAGTGGGTAAGACGCTGGCTCACTAGCCTGGAGGTCGGGTGTTCGATCCCTGCATTGGACGAGAAAGTTCATCCAGATTTTACGGCGTGGTTCCCCCTTGTCAGTGATGCAGGACGAAGGACCTGACATGGACAGCTGTCTAGTCGTTCGGATGGGATAAAAAACTGAGGTCCCATGTACACGTTGGCATGCACGTAAAAGATCCCTTGACAGTTGGAATTTGATATAAGAGTAGGTCGTAGTGCCGCTGTCTGGTCAAAATTTCCCTCATATCACACTGTAAGGCGTATGCTCATCTTCATTAGCCCAATTCACAGCAGAACAGTAGGATATTAAACCCCATTTCATTTCTGTATATCATTTAAGATCACCTTCTCCCTAGCTCTAGTATATCATTTAGATCAGGTATTGAGTACCATTTATCATCAGATCATGCTTACCTACCTCTAGTAGTATACCATTAGATCATGTTTACCTACCTCTAGTAGTATACCATTAGATCATGCTTACCTACCTCTAGTATATCATTAGATCATGATTACCTACCTCTAGTAGTATACCATTAGATCATGCTTACCTACCTCTAGTAGTATACCATTAGATCATGTTTATCTACCTCTAGTTTATCATTAGATCATGTTTTTTTTACGTTCAGTATATCACTAGGTCCTGTTTTACGTCTAGTGTATCATGAGACCATTTTTTATCTACCACAAGATCGTGTGTTGTTAAACATTTAGTGTATCATTAGACTGTATTTTTTTCTACCACAAGTTCGTGTTTTATTTACATTTAGTGTTTTATTAGATTGTGTTTTACCACAAGTTTGGGTTTTATTATGTTTAGTGTATTATTAGATTGTGTTTTATCTACCACAAGTTTGTGTTTTATTTATGTTTAGTTTATCACTAGATCGTGTTTTACTTATTCACCTCTAGATCATTAAATTGTGTTTTATTTACCTCTAGATCATGTTTTATTTACCTCTAGTATATCATTAAATTGTACTTTCTCTACCTTTAGATTGTGTTTTATTTACATCTAGATCATGTTTTATTCACCTCTAAAATATTATTTGACCGTGTTTTATTTCCTCTAGTCAATGCTGATATAAATCTATCTTGTGTGTCTTTATACATGTAAGTAAACTTGACACGTTGTGGTGGAAACTTGGATGAGGTAGCAAAGTTTCTAAATAATGTTCTATGATTATCATATTCTGCTTTCTTCTCAGTTATCAACACCACACAAAACCTGAAATTGAAATACACTACACATTACTTAATTCTAATGAAGATTTTTCAGTTCACCATTTTTAAGAATAAAACGCTATCTGAAACACCTTCACTGACTCACATTGTACTCGATACTTACTGTCGATTCTTTCTTCTCGGTTCTTCTGGGCAAAGTTTTTCAAAGATAGGTTGTGATGACAGACGAGGAAGTTGTAAATAAAGATTTCTATCTATTAATTCATCTATAGTCTTTCTTGACATCTGTTGCATCTACAATATATAGTTGAAAGGCATTTCTTAAAACATCTTGTAGGTAATATCACTTCGGTGGAAGGGACGTTAAATAAAGCTATTTTACACACACACTTAAGACACCACATAACCATTTCAGTCAACAATATTTCCTCACACGGGGGTGTGGATGGCCGAATGGTTAGCGCATCCGCGCTGTATCGAAAAGCCCATCCTTGAGTCAACTGGCATGGTTTCGAATCCCCGGTTGTACGTGAAAATGAGTAGGGTCGCCTGTCCAACCTCATGGGTTTTCTCCGGGTCCTCCGCTTTCCTCCCACTGCTAAAGACCTCTATGCTCAAGCAAATTATTGAAATAAAATTAAACCATATGATAGTCCCAAAATAACCTAGTTTGTGTCGAGTGGACGTTAAACCCCATTTCTCTCTCTCTCTATTTCCTCACACAATATCTCTTTAGTTTTTTTAGTTGATCCCTTTATTGTCTGACAAATCTTGTTTATATCCCATTACTTAAATTATTGATATTACCCAAAACTACAAATTATATTAACTAATTATTATTAATAATTGAACCGTTACTTGCATTGTGATGTTTATGTTTTTACTGGACATCGTAGATGAGTAATAATAAATATTATATATACAGTATTTCAACTTACAGAAGCTGTTGCAACAGGACTAGATATATCTTCATTAAACAGTAACAATGTATCCCTGTTTCTATTTATATTAAACTTATTCATCAATATGATGGCTTTATTACTGTGAGTTGCAATATAACCAAATGCTACACGTTCTCTGTACTGATAAGCTGGGGCTAAAAATCTTGCTGATGGTTCCTCTTTTTGACTGAAGAATATTCCACGTACTCTGTTATCTGTCCAACCCATTAAAAACTTCTCATAATTTGAATCTGTTACCTGTAATGTATATAACAACACTTTAAGAAATGGCATATATTAAATTACTTCATCACATGGTATTACTGGGGCTAGAACAGTTCAGTAATATCTATAAGGAATAACAAAGGGTAAAATATCTGTTCACACTTTACCAAGTCATTTTTTGAATAACATGTTGTAATGTTAAGGAAGATTAAATAAACTAATGTCATACTCCTATTTAACTATTCGAAGATCTGTAATATTTAACACATGTGATTTTTACAAGGTTTTTTTTGTATCACAGCTCTAATGTCCAGAAAATCTGTTCAATAAGCTTACTATAGTCTAACATTCATATTTCTAATCATAAACAATAGTAGAGGTAATGTATAACCATGTTAAAAAATATTTACGTTTATTTCCAAAAGGTTCAATATTCTGAATAGAGATTTCCAGACAAGATTCATAGGTCCTATCTTTGTAATACATGTCAAATTTGCATACTTAATTCAGCTGAAATTTACGACTGTTCTATCAATGGTACTTTCAATTACAAATGTCAATCTTTTCTAATTACACACTGCTTGTGTAATATTTCTTTAGCATTTTGAATGTACATGTATATCTAATATTGTTATCAATGTTATATTTTCAATCATTGCATCACACAAAACTATCATAATATACATACCTCAGTCAAGGTACTTCTAGGGAACAGTTTTCTCACAAAGTTTCTTAATATCTGCATACTGACATGATCATTATAATAGGTAGGTCTACCATTCACGACAGCTAATATAGTAGGTACTTGATGTATCCTAAGATGAGATGTTAAACTAGCACTATCTCTAGCATGGAATGTTCCAACACACATACCTATAAAACATGAAAACAATCGTATATCTGACAATCTGTGAATTTTCTTGAACCTTTAATTTGCCCCCCCTCCCCTTCCCTAATTTTTAGGTGGGGCTTTTACTAGAATTTTATTTCAATTAGACGCTTAAATTGATGATAACAACATATCTATAAAAATATAGTTCTCACCATTTTCATGCTATGTCAAGTCACTTTAAAGGGACCATCACGATTTTAACATAGTCTCAGAAATAAAAGTCTGTGTACGTATGAAATTTAAGTGCCAAAATATAGAGGAATGGTGTATTTACCTTGCCTCAAAATTTCAGCTCAAAATATCGAGTCATTTGGACGTGAACGTCAAAACCGCTTATCCAGACACGTAACCCTTTTAAGATTTGGGGTCATTTTTTTTGTTGGGTGACCTGGTAATCTATTGCTGTTCCTTTATAGGTCTATACAGTGCATGACCCACATGCTGTACTTGGTAACGAACGTTATATTTCACCCACACGTTATCTTTATAAAACAGAAGTCTGGTTTTATCAAGATACCGCTTGGGGCGTTGGTTTCCATTTCCAGATGAAGACTGACGGGTTTAAGTTGTTTAAAAACATGTCACCTATTAAGTTCGTTGCTCAGCCCTAAGGTAGAGGATTTGAACACAAAATTAAGCAGTTTTATTCCCCAAAATATAATCAGGATTGGCCCTTTAACTTCTGTCATATTGCACTAAGTACGAGCTAGTGGCAATATTTCAGTAAAATATGAAGAACAAATTGAAAAACACACATATATCTCTAAACTCAGCTTATCTTTTAAAAAATTTGTTGAAATATAACATTTCATTGAAAGGGAAGAATCAAATTGACCTTTGTATTCATACGTTGAAAATATTTTGAGATGCTTTTTATAGACACTGACTGACTGAGATAAAAAATACACCTTGTTTTACAAAGCAATGATGCAAATAGTTGTGTAGATTTATTCAATCTAATTTACCATCATTCTTGTGGATTTAAGTACTTCATATATTGTAATTATGAATTCAATAAAGCACAAGAATGTTTATCTTATTGTTTGTGGTTATAATTTGACAGAATAAGACTGAGTAAGATTGATATATTGATTAGAGAGATGTGTCTTTAAACTAAATTCTAGCAAAATACCAGACTAGTCATACATACCTATGTTTTCTAACTCTACAATTATTTTTTCTATCAATGGTTCTACTCTCATGCAGTTAAAACAGAAATCACTGTACACATATATAAAACATGGCTTTTGATGACTTTCTGGTACAATAATGCTTTCATATTTTCTTGAAAAAAATAAAATAAATCAGAGGTATTATAATATATTTATAAAAGACAAATTTCTAAATTTTAAAGGACATCATAAGTATTCATTAGTATAGTACATCTATCTTAATGGTAAACAGGTCAACAGTGAGGCTGATGTCCCCCAGCAAAATAAAAAAAAAAACGATGAGTGACTGATGATACTTATTAATTAATTGCACATTGATCTTTTTCAAAAGTATCGAGTATCAGGTTTTGAGGTACATGTACCTGGTAGTGAGTGAAACTATACACTAAGTTTCATCTCTCTCCATCAGTTAGAATCAAAGTTATTTTGTCTCAAAGCATCGACGAAAGAAATTGCTTAGCTCTTCTTAGCTTTAATGTGAAATATTAATCATTGAACTCAGTCAAGAACATCTACACCTCAAATAAAAGCAGAATTTTTATGTTCCAAAGTCTTGACCAATCAAATTACATATCGCTACTTAGCCTAAGCAGAAAATTCTCATCATCGAACTTAGTCAATGTATTGATATAATGAATCTATACTCATAGTTTCATCGCGCTCAACCAATTAGAACCAAAGTTATCGTATTCCAAAGTCTCGACCAATCAAATTGCTCATCTCTGCTTAATCTTAGTGGAAAATGCGCATGAATGAACTATGTCAAGGCATTCATGTAATAAGACACCTACACCAATTTTGAACATTCTACCTCATCTCTTTGAAAGGCGGGGGACAATAAAATGACAAAATATAAATGGTTTGATAAAGATGGACATTTTACAACAGATTCGAGATTTACATGGTTTCAAAATAATCAAAGTCAAATAATGATATTTGATGAATCTTAGTTGTCACACAAACCTCAGTGTTATTTTGTATTTTCCAAGGGTAGATTCCCCACCCCCTCCAAAATTAAACTTAAATCCTCCTCCACCAGCAAAGAAATCATCAAAAGGTGAGAATCCAGGATGATGAAAAGGTCGTCCTCGAGGTTCTTGATATCCAGCTGTATGCCCAAAATTATCATAGGCAGCTCTTTTGTCTTTACTTCCTAAAGTCTAAAAACATTAACATTCCAAAATATTTCATAAACCTTTTAAGATAAAATGACCAATCAAAACCTAAAATCATTCTAAAGAATCTCACTAATATAATTATTTGAAGGTTACAAAACTATTATTTGGTATCAAAATTTCACAGGATGAAAAACCAGCAGTTGTCAGGCAAGATATGTCCACACTTTGCAAGTGATCAGGGGTCATAATCCAGGAAGTTAAAGTTTCATATGTGTGAATATCGAAAGGAACCAAGATCTTTGTGATATAAACATAGATTTTAAGTTTCATCAAAATCGGATAAAATTTGTGACCTATAGAGGGTCCACAACTTTGGTATTACACACTTTTACAGTGTTTGAATATCGGGAGTGCCCATTTTGTCAGGCAGTTTCGGTTCGATTTTCATGAAATTGGTATTCATCCTTCCTTATGGTATAATGGTGATATCATTAAAAGTTTTTTAAAATCAGATAAAAATTGTGACCTGTAGAGGGTCCACAAACTAAAACACGATTTTTTGTACAATCAGGGGCCATAATCCGAAAATTTACAGTCAAATATGCGCGAATATCGAAAGGAACCAAGATCTTTAGGGTATATAGTATATACATATATCTTAAAATTGTGACCCATAGAGGGTCCACAACTTTGCAATCTGATCAAAACACAGATCTATATTTGTTTCGTTTTTATACTTTTGATGGCCTCTACTAGTACTACTTGAAGATTTGACTGGTTGTAGTGGAAGGTCGCGTCAGAGGTCATACAAGCGGCTTTAGATCCTATTCAGGCTATGACGTCAAGACTTTTGATTATAAATCAGCGTTGATGTTTCCAGTGGGTTATCCACAGTTCCGTGCACCTCACGCCAAAAACTCGCTGTAACAGACCGTTTCATTGGCTAATCCCTCACATAATCCACAACGCGGGTTATATAAATGAAATGAAATGAAATGGGGTTTAACGTCCTACTACGGGTTATATAACAACACTTCCAGATCCTGTGTAGTAAAGACAGGTAAAAAGAAATTCTTAACTATACTATTCAAAAAAAGTAGGGGATATTTGATTTTGGGGGCATAATACTAAAATATGCAAATGACTACGAAAAAAGTCACTATAGAACCTAACAGAAGAAACATTTCCAGTTACATGTGACGCCCAAACGCACCAATAGCTACCGCATGGAATGCAGGTGATGCTTGAGATCATCATGGGGGTCCAACCCAAGATTTGCACGACTCTGACTTTGAATGTTACAGTCATTGTGGCATTGAATTCCAGGGTGGAAACATCAGTTTAATTGTTTTAGTGACCAGAAAACAAATTTTGATATGCGTCGGCTTACCCAAAATGAAAGGTTACGTGCCCTTGGCATGCTACAGATCGGCACAACACAGGCGGTTGTGGCGCGGACGATGAATGTTTCTCAGTCTGTCATAAGCAGGCTATGGTCCAGATACCGTGATACACAATCTGTACAGGACAGACCACGCTCAGGTCGACCAAGGGCGACAACTCAAGCCCAGGATCGATTTATCCGTACCTTGGCCTTGAGAAATCGTGTCATCACAGCAAATCAGATCAGTGCTCGTCTTCAAACAGACACTGGTGTGAGAGTGAGTGGCCAGACGATTCGGAATCGACTGCATAGGGGTCAACTTCGGGCCCGACGTCCTCGCGTGATCCCTTGTTTGAGAGATCATCACATTCAGGCAAGACGTCGTTGGTGTAGGGATCGTCAACACTGGGATAATCGACCCTGGAGCAATGTGATGTTTTCAGATGAGTCAAGGTTCACTGTTGATTTTTTGGACAGATGTAGGAGGGTGTGGCGTCGTCGAAACGAGCGCTTCCAAGACGTTAACGTCATCAGACATGATCGATTTGGGGGTGGTTCTGTTATGGTGTGGGGAGGCATCACTGTTGCTGGAAGAACGGCTTTACATGTTGTTGCAGGGCGTGTTACAGGCCAGTACTACCGGGACAACATCTTGGCAGCCCATGTTGTGCCGTTCGCACGACGTCATGGCCGTCGTTTCATCTTCCAGGATGACAACGCAAGATGTCACAGGGCCAGGATCGTTACAGGTTACCTCCAACAACAGAACATCACCACATTACCTTGGCCAGCACTGAGTCCCGACCTCTCCCCCATCGAGCATGTCTGGGACATGCTTGGACAGAGGTTACGTCAACGTCAACAACGTCCTGCCAATGTCCAAGAACTTACTGCTGCGTTGCAACAGGAATGGGACAATCTGGACCAAAATGACCTTAGACGTCTCATTAGGAGTATGCCACGTCGGATCAATGCTTGTTTGGCAAACAGAGGAGGATTTACCCGTTACTGACTTGGTTGTGATGCTGTGGTAACTTTGCTGTTTGACCCCGGGTATCATTTTATCCTTATAATGGTCAGTCTGTGCCTTACTTAGTCTAACGATCATTTGGAATAAATCGATGAATGTGAACTTCATTTCATTTTGTCATTTGTTTCTTCGTCAGTTTCATTAGGTGACTTTAATAACACTTAAAAATCAAATATCCCCTACTTTTTTTGAATAGTATATAAAAAATGAAACGAAATAGGATCTGTGTTTTAATCCAATTGACAACAACTCGGTTTTAAGAATGATCACACAGTACTAGGTCTAATTATAAAACAAAACACGGATAATTAAACTGATTAAATGTTAAGCTTTTAATCTGTTTGATGTTGATCCTCCATTGATTGTGATTAGAGCAATATACACAAGGATAATTATTTGGCAGTGGTTTCCATTTATGGACTACTGAACACTGTGAATTTTATTATACACAACAGTTTACATCACGACAAGCACAGAGTTCTGTCGTGTCTGAGGATTTTATGATTTAGCACAAAATATGTTACTTTTCCGGCTTGCAAAATGACCTACGGGTATGATCAAGTTTCGGTGATTTTCAAAAGCCCTCAGTCCTGACCGGCATATATGGCCGACATGGAATCCATGTATTACACACTTTTACACTATCGGGATTGGCCATTTTGTCATGCAGTTTTGGTCCGATTTTCACGAAATTCTTACTCAAACATCATTATGGTGTACAGTGATATAATAGAATGGTTTTAAAATCGGATAAAAATTGTGGCCTCTAAAGGGTCCAAAAACTAAAAACATGAGTTTTCGTACAATCAGGGGCCATAATCCAGGAACTTACACTCTTACTATCGAAAGGAACCAAGATCTTTAGGTAATAAATATACATTCTAAGTTTCATCAAAATCTGATAACCAGCGGTTGCCTGGCAAGATACACCCACATTTTGCAATAGATGGATGGAGAACAAGTTTTAAAAAAAAAAGCGATTTTTTGACAATCTGGGGACATAATCCAGGAAGTTAAAGTCTGATATGCAGATTTTTAATGCAGAAAATATCAAAAAAACAAGATCTTTGGATTATATTCATACATTTTAAGTTTCATCAAAATCGGATAAAAATTGTGACTTCTAGAGAGACCATAACCTTGTTATTACATACTATTTGCGTACAAGGAGCAGCCATTTTGTCAGGCAGTTTTGGTCGGATTTTCACGAAATTCGAATTCAACCATCATTAAGGTGTAACAATGACACATTTTAACGTTCTTTAAAATCGGATCAAAATTCTGACCTCTTGATTTTTTCGAACAATCAGGGGCCATAATCCATGAAGCAAAGATCCTATACATGCCAATATGAAAGCAATAAAGACCATTGGGATATAAACCTATATTTCAAGTTTTGTCAAAATCGGATAAAAATTGTGACCTGTAGAATGTCCACAAACAAATCGTGGACGGACAATGTATGTCCACATGAAAATGTTGACGTATAAAAATTGAAAAGTGTTTGCAGGTGTCTGATACTTAAACGGTAATGTTGAATAAATTTAATCAGATTGGTGTGAACTTGTCGTAAAGTGCATATAGTAACCATTGGCTACAAGTATAGCAAACTTTGCCAGGTCAATTGATGTGCTCTTTAATAAATTTCATGGATAAATTACTAACTACATACATACATGTAAGTAAATGATAGGTTGCCCGGCAACGAAACATATGCCCACAGCAGCTAAATCGTCAGAGCAGTCAACAAGAGTTGTCGCATATTTTTACTTTTTTCGGTAATATACTAAAATCTGATTAAGAAGAGTAACAACTCATTAAGTAATTATCAGAAAATCATTAGAATTTGTTTGGTTTTTATAAAGTTCTGCCCCATGCTAACATTTAGTATACAAAACATTTAAATCATGGATTTAGCTGTTCCAAGTTATCAAAATTCATTGAAAATCAATATACTTGTTTGTATCAAGACCTTAAACTCTGTGTATCAATCTGAACTGAGTCAATCGGATGATAACTTTATCCTCTAGAGCGTCACAAGATTTTTCAAAAGATCAAGGGCATAACTATGGGAGTAATTATCGGAAATCGTTGAAAATCAATAGGATTTTTCGTCTCATGACCTTAAACACTGTGTATAAATTTAAAGTGAATCGGATATTATCTTTAGCCTCTAGAGCATCCACAAGATATTTTGAAGTGATCAAGGGCCATACAGTAATTATTGCAGTAATTATCGGAAATTGCTGAAAATCAATAGGCTTCTTCGTCTCATGACCTTAAACACTGTGTATAAATTTAAAGTCAATCGAATATTAACTTTGGCCTCTAGAGCGTCCACAAGATATTTTGAAGTGATCGAGGGCCATAACTCTGGCAGTAATTATCAGAAATCGCTGAACATCAATAGGCTTCTTCATCTCATGACCTTAAACACTGTGTATAAATTTAAAGTCAATCTGATATTATTAACTTTGGCTCTAGAGCGTCCACAAGCAATTGTGGATGCCGGACCGACCGACGAACGGAGGCGACTACAATATACAACCACATTTCAACGTGGGCGTATAAAAAAGGATTTCTCTAGTTCAGATAGCAGTAAATACTTTCTGGAAAGAAAGACACCATTGTCTCCCTTATCCCTTCATTCACACAATAAGTAGACCCATGTACATGTACCTTAACAGGGGGGTTGGATGGCCGAATGGTTAGCACGCGCGCGTTGTATCATACGGTCTGTCATTGAGTCAACTGGCGGGGTTTCAATTCCCTGGTTGTACGTGACAAGGAGTAGGGTCGTCTGTCCAACCTCGTGGGTTTTCTCTGGGTCCTCCGGTTTCATCCCACTGCTGAAGACCCCTACACGCAAGCAAATTATTGAAATAAAATTGAACTCATATGTTAGTCCCGAAATGACCTAGTTTGTGTCAAGTGGAGGTTAAACCCCATTTCTCTTATGTACCTTAACCAATTAAGTAATATTTACCTCATAGGCTTCATTTATTTTTGTAAACTTATCTGCTGCAGAAGGATCATCATTTTTATCTGGATGCCTAAAGTAAATCAAAAGCAAAATTTAATGGTAGCCTACAATATTGCATGATAATAGGGGAGCCAGTTAAGTTGTCCACAAGCAAACTCATCCACAGTTACACGTAAGTCATCCACAACCACTGGTTAAGTCGTCCACAGCACAATTAATGGTTATTCTTGACTCATACACACTTTAACTGTATGGAATAAATAAGTTTTACTTGGTGATTGTTTATAAATCTTTTATTTACCCAATAATTAACTAGCATGGTTGACTAGTCGCGGCCGAGATTAGCTCACTGATGTTTTTGTAAAAAAGTGTAGGCCTACTCATTTTGTTTGTTGACTATTTTAGATTAGTTCACCGATGTTTTTTGTAATAAAGTATACTCGTATTATTTGTCAACTGGCATTATTATTTTGATATTACTTGATATAAAATCTGAATACAAATTATTCGATGAATAAATGTTTATGATAAGATTAGGTTATAAAAAGGTATTTTAGAATTACATTGACAGCTTTTAAAATCACTTGCCAAAAGGCATCAGGGACTCTACATCAGGGCTCTATAAAAGTTGAGTGTGCCTGCGCACACACTTGAAAATGTGCCTGCAGGGTCATAGTGAAACACAGGGATGTAGCCAGGATTTGGTGAGTGGTGTAAAAATATATTTGGCGAGCGGAGCAAGGCAAAAAAAATTTGGGAGGGGGGGGGCGTGGCTTTTATGAAAATTAAACCCTTCTTGGTGTATTTTGAGAGCATCTGCGGCCTTTTGTATTTGGTTCAGTGCAAATCAAATTTCCATTGATATATTCAAATTTTACCAAATTCACTTAATTTTCATCAATGAAACAGGGATCTAAAAACTTTTTGACACCACCCGACTGAGCATAAAATTGTCCCGCCCCACTCTGTTTCTCTGGATAGATAAGTTGAGGACCTTTCGGTATTTGTTGTTTTGTTGGGTTTTTTTTCAAATATTACTTTATTAATTTAAAATTAAAAATTAAAACGATTCTTAAAACGGTGTTTTATTTGAGTACAACGAATTATGACAACTGGTAGATATTGATAATTAAAACACGTTGTATTATTTGACTTGTTTCAATGTTTGTAAAGTTGTTGTACGTGTCTCACGAATATTATTATTATTACGGTGGAATGAGAATCAGGTCAGGCAGAAACTGAGAAAGCTCTCATCGTCCTCCTAGTCCTACTCTCGGGCAGTAGCAAATCCACGGTCAACACAGGTAAGAAATAAAATAAAAAACATCGTGAAAATTTGCAGGCACGTGTTGGACAATTACGACATTCAAACCTTTAACATTGGAGTGCCGTAAATTGGTCTGGGTGACCTATTTACGGAAAATAAACAAATATAAAGACCGTAGAATAATTGTAAAATGAATAGACCTAGGCCTACACATCTTCTAAGTATAAATAAACAAAATACCAATACATCTTTCTTTAAACTAATTTGGGATGATAGGGTCTACTACGGAACACAAAAATAAATTATGCCGTGACAGACATGGTTTGCGTACGTCGGCTTTTACCATGGCTTTGCCGTGGTAAATTTCGAGCGCCGAGTTTGTGTACAGAGAAGGACGAAGGGGTTTAATTTGTTATCTGAATAATTGTGAATTTAATAAGGAGTAACCAAACTGTTATAGAATGAAGTCAAATTGCCACTTTTTGGACCAGATTTCGATTTCAGACCGAAAAAACAAAATTATTAAAAACTGAATATTAAAAAAAGAGTAAGTCCGATTCAAATAATTTAAACGGTTTTGAAATTCTAATATTTGGGCAATTATTTCTGCCAGGTTTCAAAGCAATTGCTCAAAAAATAAAATTTGGTTGGTAGACATGCTACTATCTGAACAGTGTTAAATTATAAACGGATTTCTTCAATTATGAACAAACTACTCTACTTTGTTAATTATAAACTTACCTGTGTTATTGAAATTACCTCCCGTTATATAAAATCCATTGTACAACTATATGTCCAAGCGAATAAAAAAGTTCTCTCTTGTAAAATTGAACTCATCACAAACTTTGACACCGAGAAATACCAAAATGGAAGCTAATTAAGTCACTTATCGGGATAGATCATTTCGTATGAGGGGGTCAAAAGCAAGGCATGTCTATCGTAATGGTGTTTGGCTCTTTTACGGCAATTCAAATTTTGTGTATGAATAAGCTATTGCTCTCAGACCCAGTAATGAGTTTGGGCGGTTTACAAACATAAATACGCCCATTTTGTTTCCGGCTTGTATTAATTATTTGGTTAGAGAGTTTGGTGGGATTATTTCTTTTGAACTGCATTTGTTTTACTGACCTTGAATCTCACCCTTAAATATTTTTATTATTTCCTGATGAACTTAAGCAGTCCTGTCAATTAACCTCAGCAATCTGCTGTAGCTGAGGTAAATGCCGATGTATATTACATTTGCCACGGCAAAATTAATAGCCAAGGCCAGTGAATCATTGAATAGGTTTTTTTATTATATAAATACCAAAAACTATTATCAACAATTAATCATACCGCACATCGGTTTAATTATCGGCAGATAGTTCCATGTCTTTCTATTTCTCTCTGAATATTATTTCCGGTGTGCACAAACTGTTCAGAATTTTATAATCGTGCGTCATCGTTTACACAATTATTTTGTAAATTCCCAGCTTCGTTTTGAAATTCACAAGACAATGTATCCATACGAATATATACAGGGGTGAAATTATGGGGTGATAAACAATATTATATTTACGAGTATTTGCATAATAGGTGATATAAAAATTTAGTAGACTAACAGTCAATTGTTTCCAAATCAATGTCTTTGTCTTCAGTTGCTATTTTGTTGCCCAAACTCAAACGGTCGAAAATGTGTGCGCTGTTTTGATTACAACACACGTGATTGTCAAAATTTGTCAACCTGTGCCCACTTCAATATATTAAGATGGTTTAGCTCATCACGTAACATGTGTAATGTTGTGATGGACACAGTAGAAAATACAAACAAGCAAAAACATTGACTTTTCAAGAGAGAACTTTTGTTTTGGTTGGGATATTTAATTGTGCAGTGGATTTTATTCAACCGGAGGTGATTTCAAACACATAGGCAAGTTTTTAATAACAATTATACAGTAGTTTGTTCACAATCGAAGAAATCCGTTTATAATTTATCATGGTTCAGACAGTAGCCTACTCTACTGCCTAATAGTAATAGTAATATAATGTGAATGGAGGTTTCCCCTGACTGCTGCACTCTACTCACCATTCACGAGCTAATTTTTTATAAGCTGTTTTGATTTCCTGGGTACTTGCACTTTTATGAACGCCGAGAACATCATATAAATCTTTACAATCAACAATAGATGTAAAAATGAGAGTACAGACCCAATAAACCCTCATTTTAGCCGGTTTGCAAATACCCAAATGAAATGTTGACAAATTTTCTGCGTCGCTTCCGGTTGGTTGGCTGTAAATTTTGATTTGGACGAACTACGAACAAATCTCACAGGCATGCAGGACCACTCGATTTTCTCCATACACAATCAGCTTTCTTCAATAATGACGTGCGTATCATTATTGCACTCAGGACTATGATGTAGTGATGTTAGGGAACCAGCCATAAACGTGTTTAACACACAGGAGAGGCGAAGGCGACATAAACTTATACTTTTTTTTTTAGAAAATTATGAATCATCTCACACCGCTATACCTTCATGAATTGCTATTCTATATATTCCCCGAAAATCCTAATATAACCTTCGAAACAAATCTAATTTATCAGAGTACTTCTGCAGGACATCTCTATTTTCGAAATCATATCTACCATCCACGATTAAGGAATGGAACCGACTTTTTGGCTTTATAAAATCATCTCCCTCTATAATATAGTCTCTTTAAAAGTAAATTGAAACAAGTTAACAAAGAAGCGCCACCATACTTTAAGTTCCGGAAAAAGAAAAAACAAACTTTACATTGTCGACTTCGCCTTTCCCGTAGTGACTTAAATGGTCATAAGGCACATCTCAGACAGCCCTGTATGCGCTAGTCATGATTTTGAAGATGTCAGTCATTACCCTTTAACCTGTGCTCTACATTCAGATGCACGTAAACATTCTTTTTTTTTTTATCTTACCCCAAAACCTAATTTCAATACAGACATTTATTATTTCAAGTATGATGGGGGAGGGGGGGAGGGATGGCCGAATGTTTAGCACGCGCGCGCTGTATCATACGGTCTGTCATTAAAATTGAGTCAACTGGTGGGGTTTCGATTCCCCGGTTGTACGTGACAAGGAGTAGGGCCGCCTGTCCAACCTTGTGGGCTTTCTCCGGGTCCTACAGCCCCCCCCCCCCCCCCACTGCTAAAGACCCCTACGCGCATGCGAATTATTGAAATAAAAATTGAACCATGTGTTATAAGTCCCGAAACGAAATGATCTAGTTTGTGTCGAGTGGCCGTTAAACTCTCTCTCTCTCTCTCTCTCTCTCTCTCTCTCTCTCTCTTTTCAAGTATGATATTTCAACAAGTCCTTCGGTTTCTAGACATCTCCAGAAGGCTCAATTAAAACTAAGATTCAGTAGTTAAAAATATGAAAATGGCAAAACCGAAATTGTACTCAAAGCCATTAAAAACGCAATGCCAAATTCAAAGTTTATTTACTGAAACAACTTTTAACACATGTACATTACAATTGACAAAATCGAGATAACAAGCATCTGTGGATCATTCCATGAAAGAATTCACTACATATGCACAAAACCGAAACGTCAGAGAACCATATATGAAACAAAGCAGGGGTCATGCCTGAAGTCGCCTTGGCATGGACTGGTACAGATGTCTCACTACACGCTGTGGGATTGTTTGCCAATGATTTTGGAGTGCCTGTGCCAACTCTGCAACACTTTGTGGTGGCACGGCTTGAGTTCGAACCCGTCGTCCAAGTTCATCCCAAAAGGTGTTCGATCGGGTTCACGTCGAGAGACATAGCGGGCCAATCCATAACACGGCCATGATGATTGTTCAGAAAGTCTCTTCTCAACCTGGCAGTGTGGGGTCGGGCATTGTGATGCTGGAAAACCATCTGTTGACGGACGCCATTTTGAGCCAGCAATGAAAGCAACACCGGACGAAGGATGGGGTCAACATAATGTTGAGCGTTGAGAATGCCTTTTACCACCACCAACTGGGACCTTTTGAGGGATGATCTAACGTTGCCATGTTCCAACAGTTCCACTGGCAGTAGCAGTAGCTGACTGGAACCTGTTGCGCAGATGCTGTAATCGAATGTGGCGATCTTGAGCAATGGTTGTTACAGGTGGCGCTCCAGGACTGGATCGATCGGCACCTCTTCCAGAAGCGTGGAAGCGTTGTTTTAATGTTTGAGGCGAACAATGGTCGATGGGTGGACATTAAAGTGTCTGGTGACGGCTACCTATGAAGCGGCGAAGCCCCCTGACCTAGCAAGCCAATACCTCTGTTCCTGTTTTCTTGTGTAAGGCGTGGCATTTTTCCGAAGTGATGACTGTTAAAATTTAAGGGCCAGAGTGCAGGGAATGCACGTGCAAAACGTGTGACATGGGACTGCTTAAAATCGTGAAAAAAGGAAAGTGTTGCGTTTGCACGAACAAAGTTCATTACCGACTACCGAGAACTGATATTGGGTTCAATGAATGGAATGAAATGGGGTTTAACGTCCTACTGTTCGGCTCCGACTGGCTAATAAAGACTGGCATACACCATACAGTGTGCTATGAAGGAAATTTTGCCCGGACAGCGGCTCAACGGCCTACTCTTATATCGAATTTCAACTGTCAAGGGATCTTTTACGTGCACGCCAATGGGTACACAGGCCCTCGGTTTTTGGTCCCATCCGAACGACTAGACAGCTGTCCTTGGCAGGCCCTCGGTCCTGCTATTGGGTTCAAACCCAGAACTCCACAAAAAGAGACCCATCACAAGTTTCACCTATGTGCCATAAGATAGGAAATCCCAAGAAAACGTTTACCAGAAATATTTCACGAATAAGGCATTGCGTTTTTAATGGCTTTGGGTATGTACATAGCCTTTTTATTTTTGTTTATTTATTGTTATATTATTCATATTGATTTTATCATAAGATGGTTGCATATATTTTCTGTAATATAGGAGAGAGGTATATGTAGGTCTAACTTGTTCCTCAATCCTTTTCTGAGAAAAGATTGCATTCTGTCGGGTATACACCCAAATGATGTCTTAAATATATATATATTCTTCAAATACAAAACTGCGGAAATGCACTGATGTTTTATTAGAGGTAACCAGTGTATGTTAATAACAGGCCAATTGCCTACACATGAACATAAACAGTTCATATGGGCGGCTTATCTGACGGCCCCATTTCACTCACAAAGAGATACACCGTCAAAAATGAAAATGGACGTTTTTGATTTTTATCTTAATAATGATCAATTGCTCTACCAATTCTCGGACATTCAGCAATTCGTCGGGGCATGCTTCTAATCAACCGTCCAATCACAATTTGGAGCAATCTGACCCACTCCTTTTGCAGTGCCACGGCCAATTCTTGCAGTGTTGTCGGTTGACGTTGAGGTCGACGAACACGTCTCCCGATCAAATTAAACGTAACAAACTAAAGCAAAGATACACTAAACAGTAAAACTTATGCAAGAACCGATAGGAAAGAAAACATGGATAGAAAAACCAGCACGCGGCAGTTTTCATCAACCCTCCCGATCAAATTAAACGCAACACACTAAAGCAAAGATACGCTAAACAGTAAATCTTATGCGAGAACCGATAGGAAAGAAAACATGGATAGAAAAACCAGCACGCGGCAGTTTTCATCAACCCTTCCTTGAAGAGTCAAGTGTTGCATGCGCAGGTCAGTGGTTCTGTTGGGGCGATAAGTTCTTCATCTGTGAATATACTCTCAAAGCATGCCAAATGTCCATGACTATTTATCATATCGCAACCTGTATAGGTATTTGCATTTCAATATCCCCTACATTTTTGAAGAGTATATTATTAGCCCCACAAGCCGTTCACGAATGTATATTGAGTCGGATTAATTATCGTAGTATTGTGTAGCAAGATGTTTGAGGGTTTATTAAACAAATAGGTAGATAGAGGACGTTGTGTAAATTAAGAACATCATAATTTTATGAGTGTTTCATTTTGGGTTTGATTTGTTTGAAAATAATACCTATAAACAGGCCTACAATAAAAAAAAAACACAAAAAAACACAGAAGACCCCGCGCATATATTATAGAGTGTTCCGACGTACCTGCTACTAGCGGGTTCATCTTTGTCCATCTTTCACTGTTATACCACGGAAATTTATTATTATTACAATGATTTTTTGGATTATTAATTAACGTGTGTCAATGTACACCAAAACACCCAAACTTTGTAGCACTATCGTCGTTGCGACATTGTTTTTAAATTTATAAACAAGGAATAGAGAAATAAGATGACTTTATATTTCATTAATTAATATCTTTGGCAAGTTAGTAATTTCAAACATATTCACATATGTAGTGTGTACTAAATCAACTTATGGTATAAATGACATATTGTTATATAAAAGAGAGCTATTTAGCCAAAACAGGTGTCAATAATTTACCACCAGATTACATGTGAGTGGAATTATTCTAATTGCATCATTTGGCATAAAGTAACCAATCATATCGTTAATTACACAAGTTCAGGGCCATGATCACACTTGATTGTGCGTGATATTCATATGGCTATAAAAGAAACCGCGGAACTCTGTAAGACAGACTTCCAATTAGATTACAGAGAGGTTCCATCTGAGTTCCTAGACAGCCGCGATGCTGGATAGGGTTGAAAAATGGTTTTAGCTAGTATTGTTATCTATTATGCTTGTATCCATATGTATTCGGCTATGCTATATAAAATGTAGAAGCGAACTGTTGCATTGTTATTCTTGGTAAGACAAACGTCTTAAGAAACTGTAAGAAGTAAATACACAACGTGAAGTAGAAGTAAAGACAGCTAGAGACAAATTCTAGACGATCACAAGGCTACAGAAATATGTAGTAAGAAAAGATGCATGGGTCGTATGTAGGATGTGGCGACTGGTTTCCTCGCCTACTCTCTGCGTCAGACAAAAGACCTATGGTGCTACAATTTTAATTTTAACGCGTAGGCGAATTGTTGAAACTTCCTATCTAAAACCGGATGGGTTCATCGTGTTATGTTTTCAAATTTGATATTTTGAAGATTCAAAGTTTTTAAAACGGGGGTAATATTATTCTAAAATGTTCTTCTTTCTGTATATGCGGACCTATAGCGGGAATACAAATAACAACGTCCCCGGTCGCCTCGCAGTTGGCGTTCCTAAGTAAATTGAGCTACCATAGGTTGTTGGAGAACACAACGAGCGATTTTTTACAACTACTGAATTAATGAATTTATACTAAAATTGAGTT